CGAACTTTTTTCTATAACTTTCTGATGTTGTCTTTAAGCTTGCCTTAATTTGACGCCTCAAGAAATGGAAAATGGATGCCCACCACTGTTCGTCAATTTATTTTTGCGCCAGCGATTTGGTTTTCACTACCGTCTCGTCATACCTTTTCCTGTCCTCATTTGCCCTAGACGTTTCAGTCCTAAACAGTTTTATTTAAAAATTATGCACAACTTGGTCCTAAAAACCCTGTTCTCGCGGACCCTAAGTTTCAAAAAGACCGGTATTGGATCGTTTTTCAGACACCTTCTCAGAAACTTCAGTCTATTTACACATACTTGAAAATTATTAAAGAACTTTTAATAGTCTAAGACATATTTCCAAGTTAATTTTCTTTTTAAACTTCGTCTGAGCGAAACAGCAGGCAAAAGTACTGTAGTCATTGTTTTGCAGGCTGCGAGTAAAAAATCTCACAAGTCACAAAATCAAACAAATCACACTCTCCTCACCCCTGTCTCTACTCCTTGTCACCTTCCTCCTTGTCTGCGATGGTCTCTGTTGTTTGCCCCTGATATTACCATTCAGTTCTGCCAGTCTCTGTTTGTGTGCCCTTACCAATCTCAGTGACTTCAGCTCCAATTCAGCACTCTGGGACAGCTTTAAGTATTCCTTGAGCTGCTCTGGGTCGTTCTGTTTGCTCTTGGAGAGTAGTCATTTTGATGCAGGAATAATGAGCACTCCAGTGACTCTTGCGTGTTGTTTCAACCTCTTGTGGTTCTTGTGTGTTTGTTTCTATGTTGCTTTTTCAGTTTTATCATAAAATTTGGCCAAAATTTTGTTCAAAATATCATATGAACGTCCAGGCAGAAATAGAGCAGGGCGCCGTGGTATGTCTTTCTTATGCACTGTTGCAAACCGTACAAACCAGCCGGCTGACCACCTGTTGATCTCAGTTTGGTGTAAAAATGTTCACTTAAGTCATTACTTTAGCGTATTTTGCGCATCTTCAGGTTTTAAAATTCTAAATTATCTGTACAAAAAGATCAAAGACCATAAAAAGTGTCATTGACATCAATTTTTCAAAGTTTAAAAAATTCAACCAATCACATTCTTACAAATAATACTGAAAATGTGTAACAACTATTATTTAACATTTTTGAGCATTTAGTCACAAATATCTCAGAGTTTTCACTTTTTTGTTTTAACAGTTTTGTTTCGTCGCTAATTTCATGCTAAAATGTAAGTTATTTCAAAATTTTTTGTTTTAGCCTTAGTGTTAGTTCCAGAATCAAAAATATCCGGCTAAAATAAAAAAAATTGAAATAATTCACATGTTAGCATAAAATTAGCAACAAAATGAAATTGTAAAAAGAAAAAATGTGAAAACTCTCAGAAATTTCTGACTAAATGTTTAAAATTGTTACTTAATAGTTGTAATATAATTTCAGTAACATTTGTAAAGTTGTGATTGGTTGAATTTTTTTAATTTTGAAATAATGATATGCGTGACACCCTTTATGAGCTTTGATCTTTTTGTAGAGATATTTTAGAATTTTATAACCTGAAGCTGCACAAAAATGTGCAAAAGGTTTGTTTGAACTTACAATTTTAACGCATCTCAAAATATTTAGATGTCGAAATTTGAAACCCTACGGCGTTGAGGCAATTCTCAATAAGGGTCTCTCCTACAAGGAGATGTAATTTCATTTTTAATTCCCTTTTTTTGGGGAAAAAACTTTTAAGAGGAAAAATCATTTTATAATTTACCATGTTAGAAATGAAATGGTCTACATTGTAGCGGCTAGCGACCTCTACCACAGCCTGGAACAACTTAGCAACCCGTAAAAAGAACAATTTCTGCCAAAAACATTGGCTATTCTCGGACTTTCTTTAAACCCGAACACCACGAACCCACAGAAGTAACTCGCAAGCCTACTCTTCAGGGCACCTCTAGCAAAAAAACGTCAAGTGGTGGTGTGGCAAAAAATCATCAATAATTCTATCAACAGCCACCGCACAAACAATTACAAAGCTTGCGTTGCAGAGGAATTTACAGAAATCCTGAATACACTGACAAATATCAGCGCAATTGTATATTGTCAGAGAAACGGTACAACGGTACCTGAGATATCAGGAATCAGCTGATCAGGTCGGGTATTCTTGTCATTTCTATTACGAGGTGTATCATTTCAAAGAGGAAGAGAAGAACGAAGCTGGTCAACGAATATCAGGCACTGCACCAGGACGTCCAGCTGGAGCTAAAGTCTTTGCGGATTGTGTTCGAACACCCAGACAACCAGCCAGCTGTTTTGTGCAAGCTTTGTTCAATCACGAAAAAGAGATCTCAAACGATAAGGAGGGTGGAGAAAAGAATACTGCTGAACAGAGGCGAAGAAACTTTTGGTCCGACTTACGAGGAGGCTTCAACGGAAATGGTAAGTTAGAGTTGTGTTAATTGTGTTGCTTTGTGTCACGTGAGGTTTTTTCCTCGTGGCTTGCTAACCAATGAGCACAGATGTACTCCCACCTCCAATCTTGATTTGGACTTTAAAAAACAAACTCTTTTTGAAATTAGTCGGTGATTATGCGTCCATATTTGTTATATTTATCATTTGCCACCAACGTGTTAAATTTTTGAAAATTTGTCTGGAATTCTACAGTATACCTGATTTTTTGAGGTTCAGGGTACCGGAACATGGGGTTTTTTCGAGCCAAGCGGTACACAGTTGTCAGATAAAACTTCTAAGAACGGTGATTAAAAAGGCAAGGACAGATGAGAAGAACGTTGAAGTCAAAGTAGAAAGTCGAGAGGCGCAGTACAGAGGGGTGTAGATGAGAAGTTTTGGCCTTCGGTAATGAAATACTTAAGTCTCAGGGGACAAAACAAACAACAACAGTCGGAGAGACCCATCAGAAGAAGCTAATGAAACTATCAGAAAGGCAAGACCGACCTCTAGGGAAGCAAGGTGAGGGTTTGGTAAAAGCTCTTGATGATGTTGAATTACCAATTTGGGTACAACAAGTGTCGGCATTAAGGCCGAAACATCCCTTCAGGGATAAATTTTTTGAGACACACTTTCTCGCCGTTATTGCCATATTTGTATCGGATCTCAAAAATCGTAAAGTCTTTGGAGAGGCCCTATGTGAGATCGACGCTGTGGCAAAAACCTACGCTAAACGAGGGAAAAAACACCATCTGACAAGGGGGTTGGGAAGACCCGAAAGTATCTGAAGAGTAATGGATTAGTTGCGGTACCACATGAAAAGGGAATGGGTTTTGGTGTAATGAGTAAGGACACCTACGAGAACAACTTGTCTGATACATTAGATTCAAATCAATTCAGCGAAAGCAAAGGAACAACTGATGCGATTATTAGAGAAACAAGATAGAAAGAGACATCAAAAAAAAGTTGTTGGCTATGAGGAAAAAAGACGATATAAGTGAAAATTTCTACACAAGGATAAGGTCTACTGTGGGGCAGCCCGCCAGGTTTTATGGGTTGACAAATGTGCATAAAGAGAATACCCCATTAAGACCGGTCGTCTCATTGCCTGGTAGCTATTATTATAACTTGAACAGGGTTCTTTTAAAATTTTTCGAGAAAATTGACGACGCAAACATCGAAATCAACTCACTAGATGCGAGAGAAATCATAGAGAGCATTAATCTGGAGCCCAATGATAATTTGATATCTCTAGATGTGTAGAGTTTGTATACAAATATTCCACTCAAAGAAGCAATAGACATAGCTCTGAGAAAACTGTATGAGAAAAATGAACCACCATCAATTGCTAGGAAAACCATGAAGAGACTGTTGAACATGACAGTTAGTCATGTCCATTTCCAGTGCAATGAAACACTGGTAAGTTCAGAAAGATGTTTTGGCAATGGGGGCATCTCGCCGCTATTTTAGCATATTTTTGGCTGAAGCATTACGAAACTGCACTATCGAGGGATATTCGTTATTGTTATATTCGAAATGTTATTGCCCGAAAAAGATTTTAACGGAATATGTCCCGAGTGCAATAAGGAGGTCACGTACAGGTCAAAAAGTGTAGAAGGTGAATGCTGTTTGTTTTGGTAGCACGTAAAATGCGGGGTGATATATCAGATGATGACTATCGAAATAAAAATGAAACCGTCTGGTACTGTAGACGGTCCGACATCTCACCACAAGGATTGAGGAACACCGAAAAAAAGGATACCCCAGTTGGACAGCATATAAGGCAGTGTGATAGTGAGAGTGGTAAGTCGGAGTTTAATTGGAAGATAAGTGACCAGGCCTCCAGCAACATTAGGTTACTTACTTTAGAGGCGCTGCACATTAGGAAAGAGAGACCGGCAATTAACACGCGCCACGAGTTTAGAAGTGGGGAGCTGACACTAAGGATATAGTTTCAGAACCAAAAGTTCTGGCGAAAACCAAAAATTTTGAAATATACATGTTAGCATGAAATCAGCGACAAAACGAAATTGTAAAAACAAAAAAGGTGAAAACTCTCACAAATTTGTGACTAAATGTTTCAAATTGTTACATAATAGTTGTTAAATATTTTCAGTAATATTTGTAAGTTTGTGATTGGTTGAATTTTATAAATTTTGAAAAAATGATGTGTATGACACTTTATGATCTTTGATCGTTTTGTACAGATAGTTAAGAATTTCAAAACCTGATGATGCACAAAAATGTGCGAAAACGTTTGTCTGAATTTACAATTTTAACGCATTCTCAAAATAAGTCATTGATCTTTTTCAGACTTAACAGCTCTTTGTTAATAATACTATGATACTTATGACCTGATTATTTGGAAAACCTGAAAAAAATTCTTTTCATTTTTAACACCACCGAATCATCAGTGTTATCTAATGTTTCAAAATGGTCTGACTGTAAAAGTCTTGTAGTTTGGCTTCGTATTGGTCTTTTTTCATGAAACAAACCAACCCCTTTGTCAAATGGCACGGCTAAAAGATTTCGGCTATATCACGATTATAAGTATAAAATTTGGGATATACAATGAAGGGACTCCTGACTATAACCTCTGTTACTATGATTTTTTTTACCTGATTATTTAGAAAACATGAAAAAAATTCTTAATTCTCCTTAGTCATTCTTCTTACTCGTCACAGATTCACAGGTTAACTTCTGATCTGTAGGCCTCCCAGGCCTCTGTCGACCAGCTCTTTCTTTAATTCTTCACATTAACTCTTCTGAATCATTTTTCAGTTTTTTGAATCGTGTTCTCTAGAATCGTTAGATGTCCCTAATAGAACATGAACAACTATGAAAAAAGTTCTCGAAAAACTGAGATGGTAGATTCTTTATTTGAAGATCTAAATAATTCTGGAGAAACAAAACATGTAGAAAACAATTATCCACCGGAACTACCTGCTGATCTAGATGTGTCTGATCCTTTGGCCGCTGAACTTGATCAAACTGGATCTACAGAAGACTCTAAACTAGAAGACAACAAAAATGAATTTATTTTAGCAGAAATTGACGAGATTGCCTTGACGAATGAAGAAGAAAATGTCGAGCCACTGGAACTTGACGAAAGGTTATCCTGTTTTTATTTTTCCACAGCGCATAAACCGAGAAACGAGGGCGGGGTGTTTTCTCAAAGAGAGATGTCCGTCGCAATAATGGTTGCAGGTGCTGCTTGTGTACTCAGCACAGTATATGATAAAAACTATTTTGAGTTTGGCTTAAAGTATGTTTCATCATAGAAGCTTATTGTATCATTTTTTGTTACACTCATTTGATCTATAAATTTTCAAGGAATTTTTGACTGGGCTACGTCATGACTGACAAGTGAAATATTTTTGGCTGTCATGATAATTTTGACCCGATTATATTAAATAATCGAAAAAATCATAGTCAATGTATATGTGGTAAAGGTTTTAGTTCACTTTGCTGCCCTAACAAAACTAGTTTACCTGGTTAGTCCCTGTCTTTTATTGCTTAGGTATTTTGCATGGCAATTAGAACTAACACACCTGGAGGGCGTTCACTTTAAAGTAATGCAGGCCTAAAGAGTCTCTTGACATCGTAGCGGTTGGGTATGGCATTTTTGAGGGATCAAAAAATAAAATAGCTCCACGGTTAGATAAATGTAGACAATTAGGTTGACTTTTTTTAAAATACAGGTGCGCCTTTTCTACACTAAAAATTTCTGCAAGTGAAATTTTTTGACCCATAGTTTTGGTCTCTTTGAAAAAATTTAACCCATTGATGACATTTTCAGGCTAACTGATCTGGATTTTCAGCTATTGGATGTATTTTTCTACTCAGCAACAATTTGGTATAAGAACAGTTCATTTTTTATTGTCAGCCGGGCCATCTAGTCTTGTGCAGTTTATTACGTTTTTTGCCTTCCCAATTCTGGTGCTCCTTTGTTCCTTTTAAGTTCTGTATTTAAGTTTAGTTGGCTGTTTTCCTTTTTTTTAACCTGAGTCTCATTTTTGAAGTGTGAATGAACGTAGTGAAGACACTTAAATATGTAATGTTGATTTTTTAATTTAAGGAAAAAATTTTAAAATGCTCTAATAATTACACAAGGTCATTCATGTTTTAATGGTCGTTTGAATAATGTTTGTAAATATTTGTTGTTCGAGTTCAATACAAATTCATTTTTAAAAGGTAGGCGAATTCCGCTGCCCAACTATGAAAGTGGTGACGCCGAAAGTTTAGTTTAATTTTCAAAATTACCAGCTGAATAAGAATGCTATACTTTGATCCAAATTTTTCAATGTGGGCTATTTTTATCAAAAAAAAAAATCAATCGTAAATGAATTTCCAGATTCAAAAGCTGCAAGGCCGTATAGTTTTTTGCTGAAACTCGAAAGTTGAAAAGCTTTCAAAGCGGTCAAGCAGTTTCCTTGAATTCATGGGCTCTTTTCCAACTGTCTGTTGGCCAAATTTTCAGTATCTGAACTTAGTCCAATTTCAGTATCTATTTACAGCTCAAGTTCTTTTAGACAGTTCGATAGCAAATGTTTGATTCGTTTTACGCGCACTAAATAATGGCTTATATTTTTTTTGCTTGTTTTTGCTGCTTGCCTGCGAAGTGCAGTTTCGCCTGTCTTCTAAAAGAAACTGAAAATTGTTTACGCTTCAAGCGTTCTAGATTAGCAAGCGTTCCAAATTGGAATATAGTCTCATTGAAGCACTCAGTTTCATGAAAATTCAAATATAACTAACGGGTACTAGTTACTACTCGTGCTATATCTAGAACTCAAAGCAATGTAGGTATAAGTATAATTTTGATGTTAATTTTTGCCCTAGCGATAGCAAGGGTATTGCAATCGGGTACTAGGCTTTTTCCCCCTTATATAGCCTTAGGCACAGGACGCATGTCTTCTGGACTCATCTCTAATAGTTCCTTGTTTCTAATAGTGCCAATGGTTGCTTAGCGTTGCATTTTTATTAGCTCCATGCAGTAACGACGGGGTATTTAGTTTTTCTACGTCAAGGTTTGCAAATGAGTTTTTGTATTGAAGGATTCCAAATTTGTTTGGTACATTTTTGGCACTGAGATCGATCGGCTTCAGTTCAGTCGGCTTCTTTTCCTAATGTTTTTTTTCGAATATTTTTCTCAGGTATTATATTTGAAAAAAAAGATAAATTACAAAGAGGCCCTTCCGTTTGGTTACGGTCGTTTCAGAAGCTGGATAGGGCCATACCAGCCTTGTAAAAATGCATATATATCAGCAAACTGTCTCATTGTAACAATGAAGTCATATATCAGCAATAAATGCATCGTCAAAATGTTAATTTATCTCAGCCGTCCTTCCTCTACAATAGCGCTTTTTTGAGTTTTTGGTAAATTGAATTTTGTGCAGCGATCTGCACCCCTTTATAGTATAAAGTTCCTGAAGTGCGCGAAGCTTTTTTTGCGGGTAGCTTTCTTGTCTTTTTTGACTTAGTTTTCTTGGTTGCGGGTAGCTTTCTTGTCTTTTTTGACTTACTTTTCCGGCTAATCGCTGCATCGTTCAAAACCAGCTGACAGAAACTACTCTGCTCTATTAAATGATTTGCTGATATTTGGATTTCTTCAGCGTTGCGTGATAATTGTATGTGAAAATTTTCACGTCGAAGACAGCGCGGCTGAATCGTCAACCCCAGAGTCTGTCTGATTTAATGTCAAGTCGTGCTCATTTTCAGCTGTAGTTGAATTGTTGATAAAGCTTTCGCCTTGCAGTGGCTGAAGTTTCGGCTCAATCTCGACGTCATGGCAAAACTTTTTCATGAGGTTGGCGATTGTGTCTCTTATTTAATTGTCTTATGTGTGTGTAACCTCCATTTGCACGGTAAAGGGCACGATTCAGGTTGAAATCTGCACAACCTGAGATTTCAGTACTATTGATGTTCCCTTATATCAGTCTAGATAGTTTTCATAGTCGGATAGCAGTTTGATGTTAATGACGCCCATTTTAAGGGGCAAGGAAGATATCTCATGGAACTGGGGGTTTAATGTGTCTTTGCCGACTAGGTTACGCATTAGTTGTTGAATGATAATCTTTTCACATGTTTCTAAGTTTTCCATAGTATTATGCGTTGTCCTGGTTAAAAATGAAAGCTGTTCTTGGACACTTTTAGTATAGCAGGCAAAAGTGTTAGTTTTTCAAAATTTTGATGTGCTCATTCTGTTGAAACTCAAAGAAATTTTTTCATTCAGATTTTGTTCCTATAACAGAACTAAGCACTCGGGCGCCAGTCTTTGTAGTGAATCCTGTTTTTCCGAAAAAAAAACTTCGGCTTCACCGAATTTTTAACCCTTGCCTATGGGCTGGAATTTGGATGCTTTAAAATGGTAGCCAAAGAATTCATTTAAGACGGTTCGTAGATTGCTTAATTTACCGACCGGGTTTCCGTCGTCCGCTTACCACTTTTGGGTTACGTTATCTACTGATAAAAGTTTTGTGAGGATTTTTATGGCCAAAACGAACAGTTCAGATGGATTGGAGCGCGAGTTCTTCATCGCTGTTTAAAGAGATGTGCAGGTATTTTCGAAGTTTTTCAATGCCATCTTTCGATTTAGTGAGTTAAAAGCATTTTCGGCATCTTTCAGTAAAATCGCATCGGCGTAGGTTTTGCTATATTAATCTTAATCTCTTAGCGTCTGATCGAATCGCATATTCAATGCCACATTTTCAAGCGTTTATCTGATCAAATATCGATGGATGGAAACGGACTGTTTCATTTGAGACTGTGTAATATAGTTATCATCAATAAGTTCAGATTGTGGGTGCTTCGCAATAAGAATCTGTTCTACTGTTTATCTTTGACGATCTAGTCGAGCGAAAGAATGCTTTTGGATGTGTCCTTAAGTTTTGCTATTGCGCTCGATATTTTTCCGGTATTCATTAGTTTGTTGAACTGTTGTGCTTCAGTTTCAGTTTTTCGTCTACTTCCTTTTATCTTACCTATTTGCAGCGCCTTTCCTCCGTTATATAGGTCATCCAGGTCTCCGTCCTGCCATTGCTTAAATCGCTTTGCTTTTGCTTTGCACAGTAGTAAGTGTAGAAAGATCATTGCTGCGCGCATATCGAAGGTATTTTTGTTGTTTTCTATTAGGCTGTTCATGGAGGGTTTCAATTAAGTTTTAACCAAAAATGTTTTTTGATAAGATCATAAAGACCGGTTTCCAGTGAACCACTTCGGTGTATATTTTTCGTGTGGTTTTATGAGTTCTGGACAGGGTTTTGAACATGGGTCTTGTGTTGTTACAGGTTCTTTAGTGGAGGGATCTCTTGAGTTTTGTAAGAGTGGATCAGTGGAAGGGTGAGGGTAGAGTTGGGCGAGTGTTGTTGTAGCTAGGGTTGGGGGATTGCATTCTTGTGTGTCGTTAGCTCGGTGAAATTGGGAGGTGCAGCGATGACAGCTGAAATTGTCATAGTCATCACTGCTGCCGTCTAGGCCGCTACATTTTACATGCATGCAGCCTGAGCATGTGAAGCACCAAACATCGCCTCGCAAGCTGTTTTTACAAATAAGGCAATGTGTTTGAGTAGCCATTTGAATAAGGACGACGATGTAAAGTTAGCGAGAGATTTTAAAGATTATATTTGCAAGAAAATTAGAAAAGAAATCATTACCGTAGAACGAGAAATAGATGTCAACACGGCAGAACTTTTCAGGGGTTGGATTTATATTGAGATTAGGTGAGACAATAAGTGTATGTTGGTGTACAAATCGAATTATCATAAGACGAGATTAATCAATTTTTTCCTTTGTTCTTTTTCTTGTGGATGCAGCCGGTTATCATTGTATCCAGCAACTATTGTTACCGAATTTAGGTGCTTTAGTTTGTATTGCAAAATTGTTTCAGACAGATCATGAAGCGTTGCGCCGCGGTAGGAGTGAATTGTTGATTTTGCTAGAGCTGTTTTGATATATTTGGTCCTTGAAGTCCCGATAACTAGTTTCCGTGAAAACTCAGGGATGCGTCTTGCCTGGATTTACCGGTATCTACCTGAAAATCTTACAACTCGAGCGAGAAAGGAAGGTCTTTGAGACATGGTGAGTGTTGGGGTGATATATGAATCTTTTCAATTAGGATATAAAAATGATTTTTAGTGAGACACGGACGATCAAAAAAAAATAAAATTAAAGAGTGGTACAATCTGAGGTCGTTTTGAATGTCGTTTCACCAGCTCACTTCTTCTTGCGTCTACTTACGCCAGAAAAACGTTACTCGCCTACGGGTGGGACGGCGAGATTTGGTAAGATAATCAAAGTCAGTGAGGAAAGCCCAGCGCATTTAATATGAAATTACACTAGAGGTAAATTTGATCAGACACACTATTTAATATATTTATTACAACAATAAGGCTTTTTTAAAACACGGGATTTAGTTTTATCGTATTGATAGATTTCTTCAAATGAAATTGTGGAAAATTTTAGCGCTATCTCCTAGACTCTTGAAATAAAGAAAACAAATGTTTTGTAATTTTTTTCTCACTTCAAGTATCAAAATTGGGTGAAACATTTGTTGTTTTTGGTTGTGTGATCGGCTGTACTTATAGCTTTCTCAAAATAGCGAAGTAATTTTTTGAGACTTTTTTGGGCCTGTGGTATTTTTTCTTTTTGTTTATGTTCGGCTTGATAGGTTTTGGACTGTAAAATCGGCTTAAGGGCCTTATTTTAAATATTTTGACAAGCGAAAATCTATTATGCGTGTGAGTGTGTTTTCATGGTGAGGGGAGTTAATAACTTTTTTATTCTTAATTTTTTGCCTTGCTCCAATTTTTCTTTTGTTTTGGCTTAATGGATTTTGGTCTGTATTATATGAAATTTTATGGTTGCATTTCACTAGCCAAGAAAGTTGTAATTGTTTGTGTTTTGAGGAATGAGTGTGACTGAATGATAACTCATTTTTATCGATCCAGTTTTCTCGACTTTTTCGGTTTTTTATGGCTTTCGTGTTTTGTATCGCACGTCGTGTTTTCGTGTTTTGTATCGCTTTCGTGTTTTGTATCGCACGTCATGTTTTGTATCGCTTTCGTGTTTTGTATCGCTCAGGTTCGCCTCTGTGTCTACCGATAGTTTTTCGGTTCATAGTTGTCCAAGTCAGGTCTGTCGGTTTAGTTTCAAAATTATGTAATGTATTTTACATATGCTACTTATATAGCTATCGTAGATCCTATGTGGGAGTTAAATGAAATTTTTTATTCGCTTTTTTGACGAAAATCTTGACGAGTTTCGGTTTCAATTATGTCGGCTTATTTATCGAGTTTTTTTCCTTGAAATGTCCTGTAGTACTTTGGAGATCAATAAGTATCTAGCACCAATTTTTTACATGCCCAAATGGACCCCACTAGGACCTTTTTAAAAACAAAATAATTCAAACACGAAAAAAACCTTTCTTTCGTGTTTCTACTTCCTTCTTCAATTGTAACATAGTTCGAAGTTCTGTTGGCTAATTTTTTAGTGCCATGGTGCACTCATTCTTTAACTGTTGTGGTTGGAACAAAAAATGTTGTTGGACAACCTATCCTGTTTAAAACTACAATTAAAGACTAACAAAAAAATTGAAGCAAGTTTAATTGATACTAGCCATAGAGACAGGTATGCCTCTGTGTACAAAATATTTAAACACAGAGGCGACGCTGAGCTTTGTACCATTTGCGATAAGTTGTGCAAAGCTCAGCGTCGCCTCTGTGTTTAAATATTTTTCCTAAGATTTGCTGCATGTTATCTACGTTTTTCAGTAATGAATGTTCTAGATTAATTAGGCTTAATTTGAATTTCACACCTGTCTCTTTGGCTAGTACCATTTAAACGTGTTTCAATTTTTTGTTTGTCTTTAATTGCAGTTTTAAACAGGATAGGTTGTCCAACTAATTTTTAAATTTTTTTGTTCCAACCATTTGCAAAATGTGGAAACAACTTTGCATCCGGGTGTGTTTTAATTTTTTTGTTTCTTTTTGTTTTCCACGCAAAATCAGGTACCAAAAGTAATCATCGGAATGGGTCGATTGATATATCATATTAAAGCACTTTCAGTCGTGTTTCGAATGACATATTAAAATTTAAAAAATTTTTTCTCAGTGTCGAGAAAAACTAGTTTGAAATTTTTTGAGTTTTGGTCTAATTTCAAATTAATAAGGTGAGCTTGCAGGCTTACAATAGCTTATTTATGCTGAATTTAAGACCTGAAAAACCTAGTACTAATTATACCTAGTACTAATCCGTACTAATTAAAACTGCCCTCTGGAATCAATTATAGCAGTTTTTCTCGGTTGTCCATAACAGGAACTGCACTCTAGAACAGATTCTACTCAGAATTGTACGGTAAAGTATCTATGATATCAAACTGAAATGTATTTCAGAGCGATTAAGGCATTAGAAATAAAAGAAAGAGCCAATCGATTGTATTCCTCTGGCGAAGTGAAGGAAGCGTTGGATCTCTACACAGAAGCACTCACTGTTTGTCCAGTGTCACGCAGGAAGGAGAGGTCGGCTCTGTATGGAAACAGATCGGCATGTTGCGTGCAGCTAGAACAACCCAAAATAGCTATAAGAGAATGCTCTAAAGTAAGTATCCGCTTCCAAAGTTGAGGCAAAATTGGCCACAAGCAATGAAATTTTGAGGCAACATTAGTAGGGCCAAACTGAAACCTAACATAGATTTTCATAGAATCCAGGACCCTAAAAGCCAGCGTATGTCTGCACTGTTACGGAATATCATATTAATTACACTTACGAAAGTAAGTGACTTGTAATCGAAACTAGACTTCTTTACCCTGAACAATTATTCTTAAATACTATTGAATCTTAATAACTTCCAGGTTCCTTCCCCTTGGCCTGGAGGTAACGCGGTCGCCTGTGCACTCTGATCTCTGGAATTTGAGTCCCGACAGTACCTTGAGTTTTTCAGTATGTATGAAATTGAAAAAGTTTTTTGGTTAAAATCGAATTGTCGGACTTTCGCTTGTCTGCTCAAGTTTTACCGGCTTAGGTGCCTTATCACAGATTTTTCTTGTGCTGTAATAAAGTTTCATTGTAGTTGCAAGTGTTGTTCATTGTAGTTTCATGGGGACTTAAAACTTTTGAAAGGGACTTGAAAGTTTTTTCGGCTCAACTGGTGTCTGCTCAAAAATAGTCGGCTTTATTTCCGCTACGTACGTTTTGTTCTATGTAAAATTCAATGTAAAATTCAATTATCTTGATTGGTATGTTAACCTAAATGATCTTTTATCGAGACATACGAAATTTTTGACCAACATAGTTTTTTTCAGCTTCCTTGTTTTTCGACTTCAATTGTTTTTTTTTTTACTTGCGAGAGCAAGTGTCTTGTAATCTAGAACTAGACTTTTTCCCCGTTAACAATTTTTCTTGCAAAACTTGAAGTATTGATAATGCTCTATTATCCAACCGTAGCAACTTCCATCTGCCTTCTTAGTTTTGTAATGCGCTTACTTTTGTATTCAATGGTCTGGGGTTCGACTTCCGAAATTGAAGTTTTTTTCCTGGAAAAATGCAATTGTCGTACTATAATTTGACGACCTATGTTTTGTCGGCTTCGTTGCCACATCACGGATATTTTTTGCACTGCAAGCAGTTTTTATTATAGACGCAAGTGTCGTTGAAGAACTCAAATGACACTTGCGTCAGTTTTTTGTCGGCTCAAATGACAACAATTTTCTTTGGCATTTTTGGTTTTCGAATCAATGAGCGTCTTACCACGTGTTGTCGGCTTAGTGAACATGGTTAAATACTAAAATTTGTATAATGCTAGTAGTTCTAGTTTTTTCTGAAATTGAATTTTTTCAAAAGTTATATTGATTTTCGTAAGTTTTTTACTTAATTTTTTCTATCGCATTTTCCATTTGGTAGCTTGCGATGCTTCTTTTTCATTGTATCGGAAATGAAGCGAAGCTCCGCTTCGTCTTTGTGTTCACATTATGTTGTATCACAAGTGGTTCCGAAACAAAAATCAGTTCCGAAGCGAAAGTCGACATTTGATAAGCGACTAAATTTAGTTGAAGAATTTTTGTTTAGGCATTGGAATTTGATCCTCGGTACATGAAAGTATTGAAAAGACGTGCAAAGTGTCACGAGAAAACAGAACAACTGGAACAAGCGCTGGAAGACTATAAGAAGATTCTAGAATTGGATCCTTCAGACACCCTTGCTAGGGAAAGAGTATTCAATCTGCCTCGCGAAATCAATGAAAGAAACGAGAAATTGAAAGCGGAAATGCTGGGAAAATTGAAGGATTTGGGAAACATGTTTTTGAAACCTTTCGGACTATCTACTGATAATTTTAAGATGAATCAGGATCCAAATACTGGTGGTTACAATGTACAGTTTTCTCAAAACTCATCAGAATAATTTTATTTTACTGATCAAATGTATAATTAATTTAGCTTGGTCGAATAAAAGTTTTTTCTTTTGAAGCTGACTGGCAAACAAAAAATACAAGTTTTGATTGAGATGTTTTTCAAAAAATATCTTCAAAATTATTTTTTTTAGATGAATTAGTGTTTGGTATAAGTCTGTGATTTTTTACCGGGCATTAGCGAACTGGGCTCTTTTGCTTTTCCTTCAACTGCAAATTTTATAAAGAAAAAATTATGTGTTAAAAAAATTATGCGATAAGCAAGGGTATTGTAATCGGGTACGACTTTTTTCCCGTAAATAACTGGTCATAGAATGGGTCAAATGGTAATCAGCATGGTTAATTAATCACCATGGTTATCTACATGCATGGTTAATTATTAGCATGGCTACTGTATTGGCCTGGTGTTTACGTTAACAGTTGCTTTATTATTTTATCAGATTCGAGATTTATTGGTAGATTTTCGGCACACGTCGTTCGGCTTTAATTCTGTCGGCTGTTTTTTCTAATGTTTTAGTTATGTTTCCAAAACTCATCAGAATAATTTTATTTTACTGATCAAATGTATAGTTAATTTATCTTGGTAGAATAATTGTTTTTCAAAAAATATCTTCAAAATTTTTTTTAGATGAATTAGTGTTTTGTATAGGTCTGTAATTTTTCCGGGCGTTAGCGAAGTGGGCTCTTTTGCTTTTCCCCCAACTGCAAATTTTATAAAGAAAAAATTATGTGTTACCCTTGCGATAAGCAAGGGTATTGCAATGGGGTACGACTTTTTTCCCGTAAATAACTGGTCGCTATTAGTTATGTTGGTTTTATGGCGATTGATCTCTAACCGCACATTTTTCTGAAGCTTTTCGTGGTACAAAAAGAATTAAACAAAGAAATTTGTCAAATTCTTGTTGAAAATTTTTTTAAATGTTTTTAAAATCAATTTTCGGCTTTTTAGTTCGTTTATTATTACGCTTGCGATTTGCAAGCGTTATTAAATCGGACTGTAGACTTTTTTCTAGTTAACAAATAGTTTAACGAAATCAGTTGAATCACTTGACATGTTAATTTCTCTTCTTTGATGTGCTCTTTTTATCTGACATGCTCATTTAAAGGAAAATTCAAATTTAACTACTGGATGGGTACTAGTTACTGTAGGGTAGTTTCAGGGGGGAACTTGAACTTTTTAAAAGTTTTTCTATAAGTTAATTTTAAATGTTACATTTTTTTTTCGGCTCAACTGGTGTCTGCTCAAAGATTGTCGGCCTTGTTTTCACTTCGTGCAGTTTGTCCAGTTGCTAATTTGAATTTCAAATGTCTTGCTGGGCATGTTTTTCTAGAATTCCTTTTTGATAAAAACAGATGTTATGAAAGTGTATTGCTTTTTAATTTTATTTTAGAGGCGCTTTGGAAAATCTTATTTTCTCAAAAACCCTTCTACCGATTTTCAAAAAAGTATCCATAGAAAAACCGCCTACATTTTTCTGCGCCTGCACACTCACCTGGTCTCTTTCTCCTTTTGTCTATAGCCTTCGAAAAGGTCTGTGGGGGAAATATTTGACAGATATTTTTCAATATTTTTTCGTTCTCTGAAAAACCAGCCTAGCAAATCTTATTTTTTAGTTTCAGTAATAAGAAAGGATTTGAAAAACTCACCGATATAAGCGGTTATGTCCAGTTTTTTTACATATAGAATATTGCCCTCGGAATTGTCAAGTTTTTGATTTTTTGACTGTTGTTTGATTTTTAAAAACTTGTCTCAAAAACTAGCATCCCAAACCTGAGGTTGTGTATTCAATGGAATAAACGGGCGATGGGAAGTTTCCCTGAATTAGTGGGGCCACTCACAATTTTTTTCACACAAAAAGTTTTCGCCCTCGGAGAAGTCAATTCTATAAGTTTTTGAGCGTGTTTTTTTAAATTTTATAAATTTAATCAAAACATACCGTCTCATGTCTGAGATTTTGGGTTCAATCCAAAGAACGGGTTATGGTACGCTCCCTTGCTTACGCGAATGCCCCCAAGTTTTTTATACACCTAAAGTTATGGTCCTCGGAATAGTCAAGTTTTTTTTTACCGTTTTTTGAATCTTTTGTTAATTTTTCTCAAGAACTAACCTCCCAAACCTGAGGTTGTGGGTTCAGTGAAGATAACGGGTAGTAGCAAGCTGCCCTGCAGTAGCAAGCTGCCCACTCACAATGGTATCAACTTCGGAAAAGTCTATTTTTTGAGTTTTTGAGCATTTTTTTAAAATAAATTTAAACAAAAAATACCCTCTCATATCTGAAATTACGGGCTCAATCCAAAAAATAGATTGTGGGAAGATCCTTTGCTTACCCGGTTAAGCCCGATTTTTCTTGACACAAAAGATATGGCCCTCCGAAAAGTCAAAATTTTGATTTTTGACTGTTTCGAGAATTACCCTCCCAAATATGAGTTCTTTGTTTTCTATCGAAATTACAGCTTAAGCGAATCTCTTCTTTATAAGCGGCGAATCTCAAATTTTGTTACACAAAAAGCTATGATTCTCGGAAAGTCAATTTTTTTGTTGACAGTTTTTGGTATTATCTTGTTGATATGTGTCCTGCCAAATCTGATATCATAGGTTTAATCGACCCTTTAAGTTGTTGGAAACTTACCTTCATAATTTGCTGTGCCTAGTTTCTTTTGCAAAAAAAGTTATGGCCTTTAAACAAAGGAAAGTTTTGAAAATTTAACCGCTTCCGGAGGTTTTTTTACTCAACTCGAAAATTACCGTGCGAACTCTCAGGGTAGCGTTCAATCGAGAACCCCGTTTTCGTAAATCTTCTCTATTTTACCGGCCACGACCGTTGAATTTTGACCGTTTGTTAGAATTGTTTTGATTTTTCTCAAAAACTACCCTATCAAATTTCAGATGAAAATTTCAATCAAAAGAAGCGGTCGCGCAAATTTTTCCTGCAAAACCGACTAATCCTTAATTTTTGTAAAAGATAGGCTAGGTATTTGGAAAAATTCCAAAATCTCATAAATTTTCGCTCTCAGTTATTTTAGTTGAGAAACAAGTAAGGTTTTGTGCTATTTAATTATTGAAATTACGCATTTCATCCTGCATCAGTAAAACAAATTCAAAAAATATCAAATATTTACCTCCAGCTTTAGCTGAGCCCTAGGTGTCCTTCATCGAGACAAACGAAAGTTTTCGCTCATCTAGTTTTTTCATCATTTTGCATTTTTTTCGGCTCGTGCTTTTTTATGATTGTGTTGTATCGCAAGTGGTGCGAAGCTCCGCTTCGCATCTTTTTCTGATTATCTAGACGAAAAAAATGTTTGAAACTTAGTTTTCTATTGGACAGGAAGTGAAAAGAGTTGATATCGATTAGATTTTCATCAGAGTTTTAAGGGTGCGGTTTTTTCAATTCGACCTAAAATGTTAGACCCAAAAAACGGGTCGTTTAGCTCCTTTTAGCCGATCAAAGCTTCACGAAAACTACCGGGTCAGTTTTTGAGCAATTTAAGCGTGTCTTTTCATTTTCTTCTAGGAAAGTTAATGATTGGTATAGTTTCCTAAATTTCTTAAAAGTAAATTTTTTTATGATAGCCAAAGAATGTCGTTTTAACTAATTGAAATACCAATTTGTTAGCTCTAAAAACTTTTTTTGAATGTTTTGCGCTGTATTTTGGAGATAATGCTTAAACATAGTTTCGCTATTTTTTGGAGATAAAGCTTAAACGTCGTCAAACATTGGGATACAAAAGATGCTCATTTTGAAATCATTTGCTCTCTTTTATTATGCAGCTTTATTCTTGATTGACCAAAAGCAGCCAAAAACGAACCGTTTTTGGGGCGACTGTTTGGGTACGAATTTTGATTAACAAGTTGCACCATACTTTTTACCTTAAAATTTTAAGCTATTGTTGTTCTTATTTCCTGGGAATGTCAAATCAATTTGAGGAAAACTTGTTTAAATTTTGTTTTTTTTTGTGTCCGGATAATTCAATTCAGCACTGAAATCGAAAAAAATCAAATGATTATCAGTGCCAATGTTTTTTCATCGCTCTTATTTACTGAATCTTTCAAAATCAAAAACCTAAGCAGGCTTGCACAGTATGATTTTTTTAAAGATAGTTTGAGAAGTTTTGATAGTTGGGCTATTAGGCAGAAATTAGTTGAGCGCATGAAAAAAATTGGGTCAAAAAGCCAAAAAAGGCTATTTTTTCCAAAAAAATGTCATTGCCTGGCATTTATTTTCATCAGTGCGAGTATCAGTGCCGCCAGTGCCTGCGATTTCGCAGACGCTGTGGCCACCCTGGCAATGTTCCGGCCATATTCTTAATGACCTACTATAAAAGGTTTCTTCTTTTTTAAATTAGTTTTGTTTTTTGTACGTGTGATGAGAAGATTTGAGTCATATTCGTTTGTCATACTAATTTAGTCATGCTGGACAACATTTTTTCGAAAACTGACTAAAACAATAATTAAAATGAAAAAAACAAACAAAAAAAAAGAATTTTTATTCACAAGAAGATGCTAAAGAAACTTCTAAAACTAATTTCACTTAGGGTAGCGGTGGTGAAGTGGTTACGTCTCCGCCTCTCAATCGGAAGGTCGGATGTTCGAGGCCCACTATGATCCGTGCTCGTTGCTTGAGGGTGAAGCAACATTACCCAGCCCAGAAAAATAACCAAAAAAATAGCATGTAGTTCTTAAACAGGGGCACAACAGCGGTTCGCCGTGATGAGCTGAACAGCTCTTGGGTCTTAATTCGTTAAATAAACGTGTAACGGCTCATTCTAATATAAGCTTGCTTGCTCGCTTTTTCGCTCAAAATTAGACCTTAAATCAGAAGTTTAAACCGGAGCGGTTTTTCTCGACACTGAGAAAAATCTTAATGTCGTTTGGATCTTGGCTGAAAGGACTTTAATATGGTTTATCGCTCGCTCCACCCATTCCGATAATTATTTGTGGAATATTTTTGCTGACAAAAATTAAAAGGTACATCTGAAGACGAAGTTCTTCCCCATTTAAACGTGCAGAACCGAAAGAAATAAATTGCTGCTACTGAAAAAGTTTTCATGGGAATAGTTGGGAGTCAGTATAAATATAGTATGCTGTGTTTTCACAGCCACCAGGTACAGATTGTTATATTTGGATTGTTTTAATTTTATAGTTTCAGCCTTGCTGTAGCTAGTCACCAAAAATAGCAGTGTTTCTGCTGTTTTTCAAAAACATCTATTATATTATGACAATGAATCTGAATTACGTAATTTGCTACAACGGTGTTTCTCCACTTATTTCCTGTAAGTAATGACGGTTGTTCTATTTTGAACCATGAAGTAAGATAAAATGAGAATTATTTGCAAATCAAATGCGGTTCTGATTTGTTTTATACAATTGCCAAGCAGAATTGTGTGTACCATAAAACGTTGTAAACGCTCGGCATTCAATTGGAACCATTTTTCAACAAAAATTATTCAGTTTGAATAAAATTCAGTCTTTGACAAGTTGAAAATAATTTTCACAAGTGTGCACTACAAATCAGCGGCATGTAAGTAAAAGAACATATGTGGTTTTAACATTTTAACTTTTTTGGGCATGCATTTTCTGAACGCTTTAGCGATGAAACGAAAATTCTGCAAAATTATCTTTTTTCAGCTAATTTTTCTTAACCATTTTACGTAGTTTTTGCTAAATCAAGAAACTTAAGTACAGGTTTTTTTGTCACAAAATTATTCGATCTCTTTATACGTAGTATTACTCTACATTGTTTATACAAAGGCAAATAACGAATATGTCGGGCGTTACCCTCAACTATTGACATACGTTTTCAAATTCACCATAAAATTCCTCAAATATAGGCGTTGATTTAACTTTTAGTTGAACTCATGTAAATACCTTTCGTTTTGACCACAAACAGCAGCCTGATCTAAACAACTGAAAAACAATCTCATCAATCAGCGAAACAGATTTGAAATCGATTAGATTGAACTCAGGAATAGCAAATCAAAATGACCACTTTTGAAACCATGTTCGGCGAAACTCTCGTCAAAAACGACAAATCCGAATTCAAAACATCCGAATTGTCGACGAAAAAAGGCGGAGTTGTCGGCGTATATTTCTCGGCTCATTGGTGCCCGCCTTGTCGTGGATTCACACCCGAATTCGCCGAAATTTACAATAAGATAAAAGCCGAAGACAAGGACTTCGAAGTCGTTTTTGTGTCGTCTGATCGAGATGAAACTGCGTTCGCCGAGTACCACGCTGAAATGCCTTGGCTTGCATTGCCTTACGACAAAAGAGACAAAAAAGAAGAGCTCTCAGAAAAGTTTGGAGTTGAAGGAATTCCAACTCTGGCACTGCTGGACGCTGAAACGGGGGAAACTATAACAAGCGATGGGCGAACCTATATTTCAGAGTTCGGCGCGCCTGGATTTCCTTTTTCAGAAGAGCATATTACAAATCTGAAAAAGGAAGTAGCAGAAAAGAAGGAAAAACAACTGTTGGAAATAGCTGAAGACATAAAGTCGTTCACAAAATTGGCCGAAATCAAAGACGGTTCAGAAGTTGGAGATCTGACAGCCAGTGAAGCGTTGGCATTTGGCTTCTTCAAAGGTGAAGGGTGCCGCGGAAGCGAAGCTGTGATCCCATCTCTCGTAGAGGCTCAAACGAAACTGGGATCCTCAAAACTGGCAATTGTTGTAGTCTCAGTGCAAGGAGAATCCGGACCCGATTTTTCAGAAAGTCAAGCTGAAAAACTTAAATCAGTGCCTGTCATACCCAAAGGAGAAAAGGCTGACGGTGTCGTGAAAAAATTCGAACCGGTTCTCGGGAAAATCGAGGCACCGCATGTTGTGATAATCGACGTTAGGGATCCCAGCTCTGTCAAATTGCTTGCCGAAGACGCAGCAAGGGACGTCTACATGATGGGCACAGACGCATACCCTTGGTCGGAAGCTGCTATTGAAGCCGCAGATGAGGCAAAAGAACGAAAGAAGCTAGAACTGAAAGCTAAACTGAAGAACTTTGAAGTTTTCGAACCTTCAGATACGTGTCATATTGTGGACAAGGCGAAAAATCCGGTTGCGCTAGACCATTTGACATCAAAGGACATTGTTGGAATCTACTTCAGCGCGCACTGGTGCGGCCCTTGCCGTGGCTTCACTCCAAAATTGGTTGAGTTTTACAAGAAATGTCAAGACGAGGGGAAGAAGTTTGAGGTAATTTTTGCCAGCTCCGATCGAAATCAAGAGGAGTTTGACTCGTATTATGAAGAAATGCCATGGTGCACTTTGGACTTCAAAGACAGAGAGTTGAAAGGGATCTTGTCGGAGATATTTGACGTTTCGGGTATTCCCACTCTAGTTCTTCTGAAGGGTAATGGAGAAGTGATCACGACAGATGGAACAGCGAAAATAGGGAGTGAATGCGATCTGTTTGCAGATGCGGCTTAAACAAGTTATATAGCAAATTAAGCGACTAACTAAGCTAATGTATAACTAAATTGATAATTGTGAATAACTTTGTATCTTCAACATTTTAATGAATGGTTATCTAATGGTTTATATACGCTATACCTAAAGTTAGTTATATCTGTCATACTGTTTGGTGCATTTATTTTTAAAATAAATTATTTAATAATAAATAATTCGGAAACCAAGTTTTTCTGTTCAATTGATCTCTGGGGATTAAGGAAAAGTCGCTAGACAATAACAATCTGCGTAGAATCTGCGTTGGCAATAACAATCTGCGTAGACTCTAAAACGGCTAATTTTTTGATAAATGGGTTTTCAGGGTAGATTCTCTTGGTTTTACTTGCGAGAACAAGTGACTTGTTATCGGTAACTAGACTGTTAATTCCACCTGAAAAGTTTTTGCGATAGCTCCTTGGTTCGATTCGGCTTTTGCTTTATCGGTTTGGTTGCATCGTTTTGGCTTCGGTTCAACTGGCGTCTACCCAGCGCTCAGTAAGAAGCGCTCATTTGGTGGCACTTTTGCTATAATCACGATCTGTAGCATTGGAATTTTCATCGCATCTGTTCTCTGCTTATTTGTGGCTAGTGGTTGTGAATTGATAAGCGTCGTTGACTGAGTGGTTAGTTCATGAGACTCTAAATCTGTAGGTCGCAGAATGAATCTGACTCGTAGCGACTTTTGTTCACTAATTCGAGGCTTATTTATATTTTTTTATTTCACTTTATAGAGCTGCTGTTTTGTCGTGTTCTCTCTAATGTTTGCGAAGCCCAGATTCGTCCCTGTGTGTAACGGAGGCAATTGTTTTCGCTGGAATTTTCCCCTTAATTTTAAGATCATTCCAACAAACTCGTGGAACTTTTGTAGACGTAGTTTGTAGATGTAGTTTTTTCGATCTTTAAGAAAATGATCGATTTGTTGATTCCTTTTAATTTTCTGTCTGCTAATTTACAATAATAGCTTTGTGTTGTATCGCAAGTGTTGCGAAGCTCCGCTTGCCTCTGTGTGTAAAATCTGGGTACCTCCTATCGACGAAATTCATCGAGCTGTTGGGATTTTTTGAGTCTTACGTCCAAAATGTTACGAGATCAGTACTTTTTACAACCCAACGCGCATAAAATGACATTTGCTGCGTATCTTTTCAACGTTGGTAGATTAATACCATGAGTTGTATCCGCTTTATTCATGACTCTTGTTAGTCGATGGGTAAGCGTGCGTGGCTAAGTGGTTTGTGCGTAAGACTCAAAATCTCTATATTGCAGAAGGTCGCAGATCGAATCCTAGACCTGGATGAATTTCTACTAATTCGAAGCTTATTTCTAATTTTTATTGCTCTTCCTACAGCTGTTTTTTGTTGTGTTTTCGCTAGTGTTTGCGAAGCGAAGCTTTGTCTCTGTGTTAAAAATTGGCTGGGCTGAAAATTGCTCCATTCAATGGCTCCGCCTCTGTGTAAACTCTCAACATTTTTCCCTCAAATTGAATATCATTCCAACAAACTCGCTGAACTTCTTTAGATGTAATTTTGTAGATGTTGTTTTTTCGATCTTGAAAAAATGATCAATTTGTTGATTCCGTTTCATGTTGTCTGCTAATTTACAATGCTATCTTTGTGTTGTATCGCAAGTGTTGCGAAGCTCCGCTGCGCCTCTGTGCAATAATTTCAAATTCAATCATTTATCCACCTGACGTCTGGCGTAGAGTTAACTCATATGCTTGATACGATAAAGGCATGTGGTTCGAATCCAGCTGGATTCTTGTTTTTTTTTTACCTATAAATGTTGTGGTGTTTCATGCAATCGTCCGTCTCCTTATTTTTTTTTCGGCTTAGTTCCCATTGCATGGCTAGTTTTTGAAGATTCAGCTTTCTTCAATTCTTCTGAAGGCCACTGGTGAAAGTAATTGAGCTTTATTTTTTTTTTGCGAAATTTTTGCTGCATTTTTGAAATCTTTTCAATATAAACTTTACAAATTAGTTTTTTTAAACTTTTAAGAATTTTTACTTGTTCGTTTATTGAGCACAAAATTATTACGCGTGCGAATAATTTTCTAGCAATTGGCATACGTTTTCAACTTCGCACAACTTTTTTAACTTTTAGTTTTCGTCTCAATTTCTGACTGCCAGTTTGTTGTCTATGTTTGTGCTGTATTCCAAAATTTGTGCTCTGTCGGTTTAGATCGATAAGACTATAGCTCTACATTTTCGAATGCCCAATATCAATCTCACAAGGTTTTCTTGAAGAAACTTAAATAAATTTAATCAAGAAAAACTTTTTTCTATCTTTAATTTTTTTTCTTGTTCCTTTTTTCAAATTTTCTCCGCTCGAAGTCTTCTTTGTAACTACTTCAGCGGGCGTCATGCTGTTTTAATCTTATACTTATACTTGCTTCGCCTCTGTGTATAAATTGTCCGATTGTCTTGAAAATTGACATACAGACATAATTAAGCTATGGCAATTATTGATTACTTAAGCTATGGTAAGCATTTTTTTTGTTCTTCATAACTGAAGTTGTAAAACCACTCATTACACCATAAATTAGATCCGAGGTGGGGGAGAAGATAAAAAAAGAGCAGCAAAGTGTACCAAGCTGGTGCCAAAGTTTCTTTTAACGGTAAAATAATTGAATGATAATGCAGGGTCAAAGGACACTAAAAGGTACAAGTGAAGGGTGAATGCAGCAGCGGATTTAGGCATGTCCCCATCTTGAGGAGTCGGATGACACTGGAATCACCCAAACCGTTACCGAAGTGGGATTCGAACACACGGCCCTCAAGTTGAGACGAGCGAGCTCTTGCCTTCACGACCGCTTTAGATATAGAGTCTTCGTATCCTTATTCGGCTTGGTATAATTATTGGCACATGCAGTAGCGGATTTAGGATTAGGGCGGTATTTTTTGCCTCTGGGATTCGACTCCCTCACGACCCAAAGTATCCCCTCTGTGGTACAATTGTACGATATCCATTTTAAGCTGACTTACCCTTTCATTTTTCGAAACGTGCTTTATATTTCCATATTTGTATGCCATTTTTGAAGGAAAATCGCGCACCAAAAACACGCAAGTTTTCAATAAGTGCTTTAAAACGTTGTTTTTGGCCTATTTTGTTAGTGTAAAAAAATGAAGTGATTGTCACTTCAATAGGTCCTGATGATTTTTTTTTCAGGAGGGGCTGACAAAATTCAGCTTATTTCCTTGATTAAAGGAAGCCATTTCCACTATCGAATAGCACAGTTCAAATGTCACCAGCAGAATAAAAAAATAACCTATTGATCCCGTTTTCTCGGAAAGGGATGAATTTAAGAAAAAAGTTCCAATCATAAACAATGCTTGAAATTCAAAGAGATCTAACGTGATATAAATTTTTCTTTGTAATTCGAAAGGTGAAACTTTTTCGGCTTTCTTGATCTTTATCATCTACCAACCATCTGTTGTCTATGTTCAAAATTTGCATACGGTGCCGAAAAGTTTATCAAAATAGGACCTGTATATCGTTTTGTGATAGGTTGGAAAATCAATTTGGTCGACCTCCAAGAAAATTCTAGATCCGTGCCTGGCTGTATCCACTGCTGATTTAAATAGGATTGATTCGACCATTTTACGGTGGACCACGACGAACCATTATGTAGTAAGTAATGGGTATAGAAACCCTCAAAAGAGTCGAGTGCGGCATGATGATAGTTTATTCAGTTGTTTTTTAATTGGTAACTGTTTTCCCAATGAAATCATAAACGAACGAGTAGAAGCTTCGTGTTTATGACAAAATTTTAATTTTCTCGGCCTCTCCTTGGATTTATCAGTTTGAGCTATTGTTCGCGAGACTTTTTAAAAAGCATATGTTAGACAGACAAATGTGCCGAAATAAGCATTATGAAAACCAAAAGGGGAAAAGATTCGATGGTCGCGGATTTTTATTTCTGAAATTTGATGATCGTGCAATTTTATTTCTGATGGTATATCATCAATCTAAATATTATATATTTAAATGCGGGCTTCACTATCTTGCCAAGTTTAAGCTTTTTCAACGTATTATTTTTGCATGTTCAGTGAAAGTATTTTTTCACGTTCAAGCTATATCGTGTATTGCAATGGTTAATTTTTTTTTTTATTTTCCAGTTTTTATTCAGTGTTTATTCACCGAGTTTAAAATAAGCAATCCAATAATGGGATGCTGCCAGGGATTCCTCAGGAGTTGCGAACTTGGCCTCCTATCTCTGTTACCCAAATTCTTTAAGCTTACGAGATACGACGGTTTTTGTAATTTTTTCGAAAATTTTTAGAGAACTTAAATTAAAAACCGATCTTTCTATAATATCTATCTATTTTATATTTAAATACGTGCTTCACTGTCTCGACACATTAGAGCTTTTTCTACATATAATTTTTGCATGTTTAACGGAAGTCTTTTTTCACGTTTAAGCTATATCGTTTATTTACAAAAGTTTTCAAAAACTCAAATTTAAAAAATTCAAAAGATTTGATTTTCCCAACCTGGTAGTTAAGTACTGTGACGTTACTCTGAGGAGTTCCAGGTTGCGAATGATGCCTCTAAATATGACTGTTCAAATTCTTTTAGTTTTCGAGATATGACGTTTTTTTGTGATTTTTTTCAAAATTTTCTCAGAAAACGTAAACTTAATTTTTTCTAAATTTGATTTCCTAACCCTGTAGTTGGGTACTGTGAGAGAACTCTCAGGAGTTGCAAATCTTTTTTCCAAATGCGACTGCCCAATTGCTTTTAGGTTCCGAGATGTGACGTTTTTTTATGTCATTTTTAAAGAATTTAGATTTAAAAAAACTTCACAAAATTGATATCAAAATTTGATTTAACAAAAACTTACAAAATTTGAAATTAGCAACCCTGCATTCGGGTGCTATCAGAGTACACCCAAATAACGCAGATATTGTTTCCAATATATGCTGTTTTTTGAATTGTCGAAAATTCAAAGCACCGGAGGTGCTCTACAGGCTAGTCTGATTTAAAGGAAATTTAACAATTGGAGTGGAGTGTTGAGATTCGGATTAATTCCCGAGGCCATTGTTCAGTTCAAAATTTTAACTCAGATAGGCAGTTGACGAGCATTATTAATTACTTGTTTATAATTGTCAATAAGCAAAGAGAAGACTCTTGTGTTAGTCGTGTGGTTTTTTTCTTTCCTTTCAGGAAAAGTCTTGAAAATTTGTTCACGCTCAGTTTTTTCTTTTTTGCGGCCTGAATTTTAATTTTTTTTCAAAGTCAATTTCGATTGCATTTCCTAAGATGACATAAAAGTATGCTCTCCAAAAACAAAAGGCCGAGTGGCGGAAAAAGTAAGAGAACTTCAGTTTCAGAGTTGGAGTTATTTTCAGAAGTGTGAGGGGAACAACAAATTCACCTACTTATTTCTACCGTTTTCTCAAATCAAATGAATTTTTATTGATGATTCTTGAAACTCATTGTGCTTTAAAGCAAAATATGGTGAAAAATATTTTCAGAAATGTCTTCATTTTTGGCCTTCAGTGATTTCATTGGCTTTCCAATTCTCTGTCGTCTTTTGTTATCTGCTTCAGTTGTTCATAAATACTCTATGTGCTGTGAGAAAACTACTATTCGGTTTGCATACTAATTGCGTAAAGTAGGTATTTTCTCTTAATAGTAACAAGATGAAAGAAGAGATTCCAAATGTGTCTGTGGCTGAAACTTTAATACAATTTTCACGAAGTAAATTAGTTTTTTTTGCCGGCATTTTTAACCGGGTACTAGACTTTTCCTTATTACGAGCTTTCGTCACAGGATCACTGATGTTTGTAATCTCCAATTTTAGTCAAGGTATTCTTACATCTAAATGTGTTTCCAAATGAATTTGTGTCTATAGCTGAAATTTCAAATCTTTCCAAGAAGTGTATTTTTTTTTATGTCTTTAATTATATGCTTCAGTTTTTCTTTAATGTTTTCTGTGCTGTGAGAAAAACAAGTGTCAGATTTTGGATATGAAGGCAAATATTTGTAATAAGATAGATTGAACAAAAGATATTGTTTAAGTAATTTTAGTCAAGGCATGCTAACATCTAAATGTGTTTGCAAATGCAAATATGTCTATAGCTGAATTTTCAAAAATATTTCTAAGAAATATAGTTACGTTTTGTCGGCTGTATAGAGTTCATTTTTTTTGTCGGCTTACTTGTCGGTTTCAATAATTTTTTTACTCTTGCGATAAGCAAGAGTAAAGCAATCGGGTATTAGGCTTTTTCCCCTTAAAAACTTTGTTCATAGTTAACTGAAATTCCGGTCGTCTTTACATTCGTCAACGAACAGAAAGATTAAAAACAGACAATTTTTCAGCATGTCTGCAATTTAAAAGCCCGCTCGTTTATGTCCGTTGCAACTCTGATATCAGTTTATCAATATTTTATTTTTTTATTCTTTGTTCGGCTTGAAAGGTTTCGGTTTTTAATGTGTAGGTTTAGAGGCTTTTTCGGGTGGGTTGAGGAGCAAACAATTTTTATCTAGTTGTTCTGATGGGGGACTTGAAACTTTTTTTCGGCGCAACGTGTGTCTGCTCAAGAACTGTCGGCTTTGATTCCGCTTAATGATTTTTGTTTTGATGTTTATTTACCTACCAATCTTTTTTTCTTAAGCATATTTTTATGACAGGAATTCTTATTCAAGTCAAAATCAGGACAAATTAAAGAAATTTTAGCAAGCATTTTTTTCAATTTTTTCTACGGCTTCTAAGAATTTTTTCAATTTTTTTACTACGGCTTTCATCTCTATTTTTGTCGGTTAGTTTGTCATGCTATGTATGGATTTTATTGCCCGAAGCACGATACTTTGCCTCATATTGTAAAATTTTTAAAGGTGCGATTATTTTATTCCAATAATTCTGATATTTTTGCGTATTTCATTTTTTTTGTAACGATTTTGTAAGGATTGTTTTTTGTTCATCTTCAAGCAGTGAGATTCGTTCATTTTTCTATCGCAAGTAGTGGGAAACTGTGCTTCGCTTCTACGTTTAATTTATTTTTTCTAACAAATGTTTTCAATTCGATATTGAGCATTGCATGAATAGTTTTCACAGATTATCTTATACAGTTCGAATTAGAATGTGGTTTTTTTTGGATGTATGGTGTCTGATTTTTTTTTACCATGAAGTGTTTTTTATACTTAGTTTTTAGCAACTTAGCTTCAGAATAAGCTTTTTGCAATTTCATTGTAATTCTATTCAAGGTGATACCTTATCGAATGGTTGTTTAAAAAATTATTGTTTTTTTCATTTTTGATCTTTATTTCTACCAAAATTCAGGCATTTGTCGCATGATATCCAAGAGGGGGTTGTCTGTTGTCGAAATTTTTTTAAAATCATTAACATTTTTTTTTTATAAACCGGCGTTCCCTTTCATATTTAAGTCTGTAAGTTGTAATTTTAATTCTTATCCTTGTGTATAAACTTGTGTATATGATGTGTTTGGGTTGATGTATTTGGAAATAATATAATTGGCTTCTCTTTATAGTTTTCCTGAGTTTTAGGCTGTCGTCTTTTGTTATCTGCTTCAGTTTTACATCAATACTCTCTGTGCTGTGAGAAAACTAGTATTGGGTTTGCATACTAATTGAGTAAAGTTGGTATTTTTTTCAATAGTAACAAGATGAAAGAAGAGATTCCAAATGTGTCTATGGCTGAAATTTTAATACAATTTGCACGAAGTAAATTAGTTTTTTTTGCCGGCATTTTTAACCGGGTACTAGACTTTTCCTTATTACGAGTTTTCGTCACAGGATCACTGATGTTCGTAATCTCCAATTTTAGTCAAGGTATTCTTACATCTAAATGTGTTTCCAAATGAATTTGTGTCTATAGCTGAAATTTCAAATCTTACCAAGAAGTATATTTATTTTTATGTCTTTAATTATATGCTTCAGTTTTTCTTAAATGTTTTCTGTGCTGTGAGAAAAACAAGTGTCAGATTTTGGATATGAAGGCAAATATTTGTAATAAGATAGATTGAACAAAAGATATTGAATAAGTAATTTTAGTCAAGGCATGCTAACATCTAAATGTGTTTGCAAATGCAAATATGTCTAAAGCTGAATTTTCAAAAACATTTCTAAGAAATATAGTTACGTTTTGTCGGCTGTATAGAGTTCATTTTTTTTGTCGGCTTACTTGTCGGTTTCAATAATTTTTTTACTCTTGCGATAAGCAAGAGTAAAGCAATCGGGTATTAGGCTTTTTCCCCTTAAAAACTTTGTTCATAGTTAACTGAAATTCCGGTCGTCTTTACATTCGTCAACGAACAGAAAGATTAAAAACAGACAATTTTTCAGCATGTCTGCAATTTAAAAGCCCGCTCTAAGCGATTTGTTTGTTGGTTGCAACTCTGATATCAGTTTATCAATATTTTTTTTTATTCTTTGTTCGGCTTGAAAGGTTTCGGTTTTTAATGTGTAGGTTTAGAGGTTTTTTCGGGAGGGTTGAGGAGCAAACAATTTTCATCTAGTTGTTCTGATGGGGGACTTGAAACTTTTTTTCGGCGCAACGTGTGTCTGCTCAAGAACTGTCGGCTTTGATTCCGCTTAATGATTTTTGTTTTGATGCTTATTTACCTACCAACCTTTTTTTCTTTAGCATATTTTTATGACAGGAATGCTTATTCAAGACAAAATCGGGACAAATTAAAGAATTTTTAGCAAGCATTTTTTTCAATTTTTTCTACGGCTTCTAAGAATTTTATCAATTTTTTACTACGGCTTTCATCTCTATTTTTGTCGGTTAGTTTGTCCTGCTATGTATGAATTTTATTGCACGAAGCACGATACTTTGCCTCATATTGTAAAATTTTTAAAGGTACGATTATTTTATTCCAATAATTCTGATATTTTTGCTTATTTCATATTCTTTTTTGTAACGATTTTGTAAGGATTGTTTTTGTTCATCTTCAAGCAGTGAGATTCGTTCATTTTTCTATCGCAAGTGGTGCGAAACTGTGCTTTGCTTCTGCTTTTAATTTTTTCTATCAAATGTTTTCAATTCAATATTGAGCATTGCAGGAATATTTTTCACAGATTATCTTATACAGTTCGATTTAGAATGTGGTTTTTTTTGGGTTGCTGATTTTTTACCATGAAGTGTTTTCTATACTTAGTTTTTAGCAACTTAGCTTCAGAATAAGCTTTGTGCAATTTCATTGTAATTCTATTCAAGGTGATACCTTATCGAATGGTTGTTTAAAAAATTATTGTTTTTTCGTTTTTGATCTTTATTTCTACCAAAATCAGGCATTTGTCGCATGATATCCAAGAGGGGGTTGTCTGTTGTCGAAATTTTTTAAAAATCATTAACATTTTCATTTTTTTTATTAACCGGCGTTCCCTTTCATGTTTAAGTCTGTACGTTGTAATTTTAATTCTTATATATGATGTGTTTGGGTTGATGTATGTGAAAATAATATAATTGGCTTCTCTTTATAGTTTTCTTGAGTTTTAGGCTTTCAGTAGATTTTCTGCAAACTTTTTGCTAATTGTTTGAAACTTTTTGATTCAAGTTTTTTTGAGGTTTTAGCATTTTTGTATTTTTAGTTAGCTCCTTGTTATACGCAAGCATTGAATGATTCTAAAAATTTTTGAATTATTGATGATATTTTTTTTTATTTTTGGAATGATTTTATGAAGGAAACTTCATTTTTGTCTTATCATTTGTATCTATTTGTTATCTGAGTGGCAATTAATGTTTTTTATATATATAATAGGTCCAAGCTTTCTAATGGTTTAAGTTAATGGTTTGCATACAAAATGTAAGATTTGTTGATATTTTAGCCGAAAATTTTTTCAAAAGAATTGCAAAATCTTTTCCAATCTGTGAATCAATAATTTGATTTGTCTAATTATTAAAGTTCTGAACAAATAGTTACTCCCTGTTGAAATAAAATTTGACGGATGGTTTTTGATCATTTTTTTTTTTAATTTTTAGAATTTTGCATATAATTTTGTTTCGCAAGTGATGCGACGGTACGCTTTGCCTCTGTTTAACTAATTTGATTGAAATAGTAATCAGACATTGGGGTATTCGGTGCTACCTGCTTAGTAATTGATTTTCAAACTATGTTCTGTGGCATCCTTTTTATTTTTTATTCCTGCTTTCAACTCAACTTCAGAACTTATGGAACTGGATGAAAACCAGAGAGTGACCTACGACAAGATCAAGCTACTACCAAAAGCTGTAAGTCTTCAGGAAAGTCAAGTGTGAGTCTGTGCAATTTAAGTCTTGATGATAAGAGAAAGCTTTAGTTTTGGGGAAATTGAAGCGTCCTGTGTGGTTGTGCTTCTGTTAGCTAGCGTTAAGAATACATCGGGTGGATTAGATTGTCAATTCTAGTCAGTTAAAGCAAATTACTCGCTAGAATGGAGGCGACATGCAATGCATGCAAAATCAATAAATAACTTCTTCCAATTGAAATTTTTTCCACTCCCAAAGCATGTATCTTAAAATTGCCATGGCTTCATGCTTTTGAGGGAAGGTACACAGACCTATGCTCGTCCTTTAACACAAAGGGCATAAGCTCGAATCCCGCTTCGGTAATGAGGGACCGACTGCGTAAAAGCGGATGACATCTCTCTACCCCATTGAATAAAATGTCCGAGGCTGAAAGAGAATAAAAGGTCCGATGCTATATAGAAAATGTAGCATTTTCTTTGTTTGAGCTCCGCTTTGTATAGGCCGAAGACTCCTCCTTTGATATTTATAGGCCGAAGTTTTTAAAAAGAAAACTATCTATTTGATGGAGTTTTTTGGTCGGAAATTTTCTTTAACCAAAGCACTGGATTTTCAGGACTACTGTTTGCTGTTATATCTTTTTTTTCGGATCAAGTTAACATAACCAGTTCAAGTTAAAATATATAGACTAGCTCGCTGTTGTTCAGTCATGTTTTTGAACGTTACACTACCCCCTACGAATTGTAATTGGGGAATTCGAAATTGGGCAAGAACATTACCCATAGTTCCTCTCAGTCAGTTCGTGACGTTGTCGCAACAATAATTTTGTTTTTAAATATTTCTAAATTTTGAAAGATCGCTATTGTCGCTCATTAGCGAAAAAATTTACACGAATGCCAATCATCATCAATTGAAATTTAATCAGTGACCTTTGTTGTCCCAACCATTGAAAATGGAGAGGAACTTTGTATAGGGTGTGTTTTAGTTTTTTTTTCCACGCAAAATAAGGCACCACAAAAAGTCATCGGATTGGTTTGAGTGATATATCATATTAAAGCCCTTTCAGTCGTGATTGGAAAATTTTTCAGATTTTTCATCTTAATTCGAGCGAATAAAGCAAGCGAGCAGGCTTAGAACAGCTGAATTATGCCTAATTAAAGGCCTGAAAACTTAATTTTAAGCAAGAAAAACTAGTTTTTGGAGTTTTTAGCTTCATTTTTGGAACCAAAAACGTCTAAAAATTCAGAAATTTTCTGCAAAAAAATTTTGAAAAGAAAATTATTACTTTTTTTTATTTTCTAGTCATTTTTCCACAAATATTTTTGTCCAATTTGCCTACACTATTCTGACTGTCTTATATGCCTAAATTATGTTTTTATTTGCCTAAAGACTAGGGTCGGAACATTCTGTGCTATTTGTACAGTAACCGGCTATCCTTGTCCAAATTTTCAATTTAGTGTAGCCGCTTGTTGTGCAAGTAGCGCAGAGAGTTTTAATTGTTATAATTTTGCAATTTTTTCATTATAAGAGCAACAAGCCTGTAAATTAGTCAGAGTTTCAAACATTCAGATTCAGACGAGTGAAAAGCCTGTGCGAAAAACCCAACCTACATTATAAGTACTTAGGTATAAGTACATTATAAGTACTTTAAGTACATTATAAAAAAACAACCTCTACAACAGTTAAATAGCTGTATTATACGCTACGAATGAATTAATATTCCCAAAAAATTGATGAAAAAAATCAAAAAAAAGTGTCTGCACAGTTTAGCAAATTTGTTAGCCATTTTTCAGCATTTGTTAGCTATTTTTCAAAGTTTAACAATAAAAGAAGCTAGTGCCCTGTTTCAATGCACCTAATGATCGAACAATGGTAATGAGGAATTCAAATAAACTGATGTTTATAATTAAGGATCAAAAGAAGGCATTTATTTAGGTAGTTTTGTTTTTGTTCCATTCTTCAGAAAAAATTTCTTTAAAATTGTTCACTCAAATTTGTTTATCGCGTTTTTAACTTGATTTTTCTAATTAAATTAAATTATTCTGCTGAAATGAAAGCAAACGACGCATTCCTAAAATTGGAAAGGACGCCAAGTATACGTGAATCGTTTGGTTTCTGAAAGGAACCTCAATTTTCTGAATTACAATAAAAGAATTTACATACTGCCCTATTTTTCTCTAAGCTGGTTTAGTTTTATGAAAACAAGACAATCATAGAAATATTTTGAACTTCAAAGACCTTAAAGTTGATGCATTTTTTACACTGGCGAGCTTCTTTTTTTCTAGCCTAACTAGCAAATAAAATTGTTCATAAAAATTGCTCCATTTATTTGGAACTTTTGCTATATTCTCGATCTGTAGCTTTGGATTTTTCAAATCATCTGTTCATTGCTTTATTTGCGGCTGCTGTTTGTGATAATTTAAGCGTCTGTGGCTGAGTGGTTAGTGCGTTTGACTCATCATCTAGATCACAGGATCGAACCCGACAGGTAGCCGAATTTTTAAGTTTTTAGTAGTTCGAGGCTTATTTCTAATTTTTCTTAATGCGCTTTGTCGAGCTGCTTTTTGTCGTGTTCTGGCTAGTGTTTGCGAAACTTTTGTCGTGTTGAAATTTGATTTTTAAAATTCTTTAAGCTGATGCATTTTTTGTTAATACTTATGTTTAAAAAAAGTCAGTCATCTGGAGTTCATTAAAATTTTTCCAAGTTGTCTTTTGGCTACTTAAAAACTGATTCCTCGGGATGCTTCTCAATAGTGCGGTTTGTCTTAGCCATGATTTGGATTCAAAAAATCTAAAACGTTTTCTCAGTGTCAAAAAGTTAGCCTACAACTTTCCGTTTGCTAAGTTGATTAACCAAAATTAGTGCCAACTTGATCTTCACTTGCTGTTCGCTTATCCTACTGGGTTTTTAAGTTTTTTAGCTAATTTTTTTCTCATTGTTGCAGTTTTTACCTAATTCAAATTGACTTTTGCTAGCAACAAAAAACAGCAGGAATTTTGTAATAGAAATTAACTTTCCAAATTTAATTTTTGATCATCTGTGCTGGTGATCAAACTATTTTGTGCTACTTGAGCAGCAACCGGTCACTTTTATTATCCCGAACACTGAAAGGGTAGATGATTTTGTATTTGGCTGTGTTTTAGTTTTTTCTTTTTTTCCACGCAAAATCAAGTACCACTAATAATTGCCAGATCGGGTCGAGTGATCTATCACATCAAATATCTTGCAGTCATGATTTGGCCCCTGTTTTGAAACTTCGGAAAGGTTTTCTGGGTCGAAAAAAACAATGGTGTGAAATTTTTCAGGTGTAAAATTTAAGATTTTTGGTCCAAAATTTGTTGTTGTTTTTTATCGCGGTCGGAACTTTCTGCGCTACTTGCACAGGCACCCACTATCTTTCTTCTATTATGCTTCTGTATGTTTATTAAATGAGTAAGCTTGTTAAAGCGAGTTTTTTTTAATATAAAGTTTTTTATCGGAGTCATTTTTTTATTTGAATACACCATAGTGAAAAATTTTTTATAGCAAATCGAAATGGGTTTAAAAGAAACAAAGTATCCAGAGTGTATGACAATAACAACCAAACAGAAAATTATTCATTCGATTGTCTCTAGTTTTATCATAGTTGGACTCGAGTCCTCGTCCTCTTCTGTAAAAGACTGTTGTGTAAGCAGATTCAAATCATCCGAAAACGAAGAATGCTCACTATCCGATCGATTTAGAGCATCGTACAGGGATACTCCTGTATCTTCGCACTTTTTCTCAAGTCTTCGCAGATTTTTGAAGAATACTCGGACATTCTCTTCTGTGAGTCCGAGATGACTAGATAAGAGGCTCCGACCATCGGCTGTTAGATACCTTCCGTTTGAGAGATACCATTCGAACATTACTTGTTTTGCAGACCTGCTAATTGTTGTTCGTCTTCGCATACGTTTCATGTTCTGTCCAGATGATGTTGAATCTATAGCGCTCGATTGTTGCTGCATTGCTTTTGCAACTTCGCTTGATGTTGAAAAATAGGAACTCGCTTTGCCACTTAAACTACTACTGTTAGGTGATATTTGAGGCTGATTAGAAGCTACTCCTGCTGTTGTAGCGTTTGCAAGAGAGGTAACGCTTAAAACACTCGCGGGAGTCGGGGTTAAATTTTGAGTTGGGTTCGTGTCTATAGAATCGCGTTGCATGGAGCCTAAGAGATGAAGTGAATTCAGAGCTCCGAATACATTTTGAGTGTTTCTGCTGTTGGGAAACAAGTCGTTTAAGCTGTTGAGGTTGTGTTGCATCATGTTGTTGTTGTTTATTTGTTTGTTTGCACCAGGGAATGATTGAATTTCTGATGAGGTTGTTGCGCCATTCTGAAAAACATCAAAATTGTCCATAAGTTTCCTTTTTTATGTTACTAAACGATGTTCCACCAATAGTAGAAATCTGTTTTTTTTTTGGAAGAAGCATGCGATTAACCTCACACTTGGACCCGTTTTTGTTGGTTATTAGTCTAGATCTCCATCTTCATAATATATTTTTACCTGAAGTTGGTTTGATGGTGTCTCTTGTGATGTATGGCTATGATGAGGTAAGGTATGGCCTTGAAGTCCCCTCCCCTGGCCACCATTGTTGCCACTACTAGCTGTAGCTGCTGCCGCATTATGTGCCACTCTTTTCAACTCCGTCTTCACTCTGCTGTAGATTTTCGCCCTGCCTTCCTCACACTGCATGAAGTGTCTCACAATAGGGAGGAACTTCCCACTCCCGTCCATGTACTCTCCAGTTGGCAACAGTAAAACCTGAAGGAAAGTTTTTTTGAAATTTATTCTTTAAATTTTTTCCCTAATTTTGTGATTATTTTTTTTACACAAAGTGATCAAATATGGCGGACAGGTTCACTGAATGTTACCAATATCGTCTCCTGTTCTTCCAAGCCTCATTATATGTTGAATTAATACTGGGGTATGTTTATTATGCTTGCGATTAGCAAGCGTTATCAAATCGAATTGTAGACTTTTCTCGGGTAAACAAGTAGGTGAACAAAATCAGTTGTATCTTGGTTCACGATGAACTCAAACTTCCATCCGTGTCCGACTTTTAGCCTGGAGGTAAAGAATACGCCTGCAACGGTTAAGGTAATGGGTTCGAATCTGACCAGGAAAATTTTTTTCAACCTGGAAATGTTCCTTTCGCAAAAAATGCGGCCTTTAGTTTGTCTGCTTGTTTTGTCGGCTTAGTTGCCATATCTAAGATTCGTTTATTTTAGCTGTGAACAATTTTCATTGCGAATATTTTTAGCATGTAGAAAATGCGGCCTAATCGAAATTAGCTTTTCACATCGGTTGTAATTTTATAAGCTCGATTTATTAAAATTTCACTTTTTTAACATTTTTTCGTCTTTTTTATCGGCTTAATAAGTTTCGGTTTAATTCATATCGAATTATTGGACTCTTATTGCGTCGTTACGTCCGAAAACTTGATCTTCACTTGCTGTTCGCTTATCCTACTGGGTTTTTAAGTTTTTTAGCTAATTTTTTTCTCATTGTTGCAGTTTTTACCTAATTCAAATTGACTTTTGCTAGCAACAAAAAACAGCAGGAATTTTGTAATAGAAATTAACTTTCCAAATTTAATTTTTGATCATCTGTGCTGGTGATCAAACTATTTTGTGCTACTTGAGCAGCAACCGGTCACTTTTATTATCCCGAACACTGAAAGGGTAGATGATTTTGTATTTGGCTGTGTTTTAGTTTTTTCTTTTTTTCCACGCAAAATCAAGTACCACTAATAATTGCCAGATCGGGTCGAGTGATCTATCACATCAAATATCTTGCAGTCATGATTTGGCCCCTGTTTTGAAACTTCGGAAAGGTTTTCTGGGTCGAAAAAAACAATGGTGTGAAATTTTTCAGGTGTAAAATTTAAGATTTTTGGTCCAAAATTTGTTGTTGTTTTTTATCGCGGTCGGAACTTTCTGCGCTACTTGCACAGGCACCCACTATCTTTCTTCTATTATGCTTCCTGTATGTTTATTAAATGAGTAAGCTTGTTAAAGCGAGTTTTTTTTAATATAAAGTTTTTTATCGGAGTCATTTTTTTTATTTGAATACACCATAGTGAAAAATTTTTTATAGCAAATCGAAATGGGTTTAAAAGAAACAAAGTATCCAGAGTGTATGACAATAACAACCAAACAGAAAATTATTCATTCGATTGTCTCTAGTTTTATCATAGTTGGACTCGAGTCCTCGTCCTCTTCTGTAAAAGACTGTTGTGTAAGCAGATTCAAATCATCCGAAAACGAAGAATGCTCACTATCCGATCGATTTAGAGCATCGTACAGGGATACTCCTGTGTCTTCGCACTTTTTCTCAAGTCTTCGCAGATTTTTGAAGAATACTCGGACATTCTCTTCTGTGAGTCCGAGATGACTAGATAAGAGGCTCCGACCATCGGCTGTTAGATACCTTCCGTTTGAGAGATACCATTCGAACATTACTTGTTTTGCAGACCTGCTAATTGTTGTTCGTCTTCGCATACGTTTCATGTTCTGTCCAGATGATGTTGAATCTATAGCGCTCGATTGTTGCTGCATTGCTTTTGCAACTTCGCTTGATGTTGAAAAATAGGAACTCGCTTTGCCACTTAAACTACTACTGTTAGGTGATATTTGAGGCTGATTAGAAGCTACTCCTGCTGTTGTAGCGTTTGCAAGAGAGGTAACGCTTAAAACACTCGCGGGAGTCGGGGTTAAATTTTGAGTTGGGTTCGTGTCTATAGAATCGCGTTGCATGGAGCCTAAGAGATGAAGTGAATTCAGAGCTCCGAATACATTTTGAGTGTTTCTGCTGTTGGGAAACAAGTCGTTTAAGCTGTTGAGGTTGTGTTGCATCATGTTGTTGTTGTTTATTTGTTTGTTTGCACCAGGGAATGATTGAATTTCTGATGAGGTTGTTGCGCCATTCTGAAAAACATCAAAATTGTCCATAAGTTTCCTTTTTTATGTTACTAAACGATGTTCCACCAATAGTAGAAATCTGTTTTTTTTTTGGAAGAAGCATGCGATTAACCTCACACTTGGACCCGTTTTTGTTGGTTATTAGTCTAGATCTCCATCTTCATAATATATTTTTACCTGAAGTTGGTTTGATGGTGTCTCTTGTGATGTATGGCTATGATGAGGTAAGGTATGGCCTTGAAGTCCCCTCCCCTGGCCACCATTGTTGCCACTACTAGCTGTAGCTGCTGCCGCATTATGTGCCACTCTTTTCAACTCCGTCTTCACTCTGCTGTAGATTTTCGCCCTGCCTTCCTCACACTGCATGAAGTGTCTCACAATAGGGAGGAACTTCCCACTCCCGTCCATGTACTCTCCAGTTGGCAACAGTAAAACCTGAAGGAAAGTTTTTTTGAAATTTATTCTTTAAATTTTTCCCCTAATTTTGTGATTATTTTTTTTACACAAAGTGATCAAATATGGCGGACAGGTTCACTGAATGTTACCAATATCGTCTCCTGTTCTTCCAAGCCTCATTATATGTTGAATTAATACTGGGGTATGTTTATTATGCTTGCGATTAGCAAGCGTTATCAAATCGAATTGTAGACTTTTCTCGGGTAAACAAGTAGGTGAACAAAATCAGTTGTATCTTGGTTCATGATGAACTCAAACTTCCATCCGTGTCCGACTTTTAGCCTGGAGGTAAAGAATACGCCTGCAACGGTTAAGGTAATGGGTTCGAATCTGACCAGGAAAATTTTTTTCAACCTGGAAATGTTCCTTTCGCAAAAAATGCGGCCTTTAGTTTGTCTGCTTGTTTTGTCGGCTTAGTTGCCATATCTAAGATTCGTTTATTTTAGCTGTGAACAATTTTCATTGCGAGTATTTTTAGCATGTAGAAAATGCGGCCTAATCGAAATTAGCTTTTCACATCGGTTGTAATTTTATAAGCTCGATTTATTAAAATTTCACTTTTTTAACATTTTTTCGTCTTTTTTATCGGCTTAATAAGTTTCGGTTTAATTCATATCGAATTATTGGACTCTTATTGCGTCGTTACGTCCGAAAAAATTTTAGTGCGCGTGTGTGTGCTCTGAGTGGAAAAGGGATTAACATCTTTTATAAGTTTAGAATTTTTGGAATTTGTTTTCGGCATGAAGGGTTTCTGCTCAGGTTTTTTTCTGCTTTATTACCGCTTGGTAATTATAAACTCCAATTCAATCAGCCATCTAGTGTAGAGGTTAAACGACTGCTTGAGATGGCAAAGTTTTGCGTTCGAATCCGGCAGGGCCCTTTTTGCAAGCTAGAGTTTATGTGCTTTTTCGGACTATCGTCCGTCTGTTTTTTTTGTCTGCCTAGTTCCAGTAGCTCGATCGTTCAGCTTTATTCCAAGTTGCTTTAACCCTATGCTTGAGAGGACAAAACCTTTGAGTTTGACGTCAGTTGAGACCTGTTTTTCTGGCAAATAAAACTTTTTGGCTAATTTACATTGTCAATTTTGTCTGCTTTGTTCCGCAGAAAGGACTTTTTTAAAACTTGGCTTCTTTTTAGCATTCCCAAAGCTCGTTGTACAGTTTCTGTTGGTGTAGACAAACTTGTTCCGGATATTTTGCTCATTTGTTGCAATTTCTAATGACAAAAACGGTTTTTTGATTTTTTTTCCGTTTGATTTTCATAGTCATTCATATTTATATCGCAACTGGTGCGAAGCTCAGCTTCGCCTCTGTGTCAACATGTTTTGACATCTTTAACTTTTGGATTAAATTAGTGTATTTTAAATAAAAAAACTTCAACTTCCTTCGTTCATAATTTTTGGTTCCTATTCTTTATTGTATTCTTTGTATTCTCTCTTATTAGTTTTTTGTTTTCAATGAACGAAATGAAGACACGTATTCATGTCTTCTTTTTTTCATCCCAAAATTTTTGAAATTTTCCACCCTCAAATTTGATTAATTTGTGGTTTGATTTCCGATTTCCTTAACATGGTGCGCAAAATGCTATATTTTATTTACCTTTTCCATCGTGGCAGCATTACACCCCATAGTTGCATGTGAGAATATCTCGGCATTGATATTGAATTTGTCTATCTCAAAGTGGATACAGTACTTCAGCACTGCTGGAACCAATAAGAACGGGTTGAAGTTGAACGGAAGGGGTGCCATTCCTGCACTTGCTGCTTCCAGGAATGGAGATGGGAAAGGTTGCTGTGTTAATGTTGCTTGTGGCTCCCTCTTTTCCTCTGGAGACTTAGATTGGTGTGAGTTTGTTTTGGGCGATGTGTTTTGAGGTTCGTTTCCCGTACTTGATGTTTCTTTGGAGTCATGATCTGTGGAATTGGAAGTTTTATCTGAAAATTTACGATAAAAGAAAACTGTTTCGGCATGCTTGCTATCGCTAAAAATGTTTTGACGATGGTGTAATCGACCTTGTGTCGCAATGTACTCCAAATCTGACCGCCAAGGTTTTCAGTTGAAGCGACAAAAATTAACATAGAAGATTTTAATTATTCAGGAAAACAACAGCGGTTATCCGTAAATTGCTGAATGGCTCGTATGTTCTTCGTCGTGGATAAATTGTCTTAAAAGGTTAAAAAAAACATTTTTTGTCCCCGCTATAATCCTCGATCCTCCCCTGTGTGATTCTACTAGGTGCGATACAGAAAAGTATTAAGCTCAATTTAGATTCTATATAACAAAACAACTTACCATTTGATGTGGAGCTTGTTTCCATTTCACCACTCTTCGCTTCCTGTCCTTCACTCGGCTCTTTCTTGTTCACGCCCTCTGACGTCATCATCGCTAATTTTTCACACTCGAGCATCATCACCACTTTTCTATCAACTTCCTTCATTCTTTGACTGTCCAACAGTCGGATAACCGAGTGCTGTGATTGGTTAGTTCCAGCAGATCCTCCCGACAGCTTGTCGGCAGCGGCGACCAGTCCGAGCACTTTGCGGTCAATTGTCTGAGACAGAAGTGTCCGAACTTGGAATACAGTGCAGTTGTCGTCGAATTCCATGATTATGGAACCCTCGGGTCCCTGGAACTTGAAACGATTGGGCATGGCCAAGTTTTTTTGACTATTTTTTTCACTGATCTGCTGATATTTTGAATTGAAAATGAATGTAAATCGAAGAGGTTGAAAGAAAAGTGATATCTTTCATTTTTTTTTTTGGTGAGACAACTTGATGTAAATTCCTTGAATTTCAATGCCAACTTGACTATTTTCTGGATGTGATATAACTGGTCGACTGTTTTTCGTCTTGCAAGGACAATAATTAGCCCGTCTTTGATGAAAAAGAAGAGTACTTTAGGTGTAGTTATGTAGATAACGCTATCTGCTCGATTTGTTGGAAGTATTTTTGAAATAATTTGCTATACTTTGAAATAGCAGAGATAAGTCCGCCAGCTATGTAATTGTGCAAATAGAGCCCTCTCTCTAATTGAGTAAATGCTAGTAGGTTGCTTTGCCTGTTCAAAATATATAAGCCGATTAGAGGATTAAACCAAGCTAAGTCTCACTCCTAATACGAGAAAACATAGTCAGAGTCTCGATAAATGGTTTAGCAAATGTCGAGCAATCCAAATATCCAAGTCGCAATTGTGCAGTAAATCCTTTTAAGTAAGTTTGGCTAATGGAGCTAAACAATAAGTTGCTTTCTCTGCCAACCAACTTATTAGACGGAGAAAAGAGGGTTTAAGTTGTGTTAGCCCACCACCACTGTTTTATAGCATTTGGGGGAGGTTAGCGCTACCAACAGGGCCATTTTTTAGTCTCTCTTTCCCAGAAACGCTGATTTCGGATTAAGCATGATTCAATAAATTTGTACCTAAGTTCTTCGTTTAGACAAAATATGGAGGCAAAAATGAAGTTTTGCTTTATGAATTGAATTGATGTCTTTTCCAATAATTAAAGTAATTGAAAAACTCTTAGAGCTAGGTAATAATTCACTAAAAGTGTGCAAAATTGGTCTGATTAGTTTAACTTTTAAAACGCTTCGATGACAGAAGGTTTTTATGAAGCAGGGTGTGAAAAGAACTACCAAGGTTTTAGTAGGATTAATGTTACTGATACTGTACACTTTATGTATCGATGAGTGGTGAATGTTGAAAGTACTTCAAACAGATATTTTTTCAGATTGAGTAAAAGAGATTCTTTTTGTGTTTTCGCCGTTGTTTTGATCGAACCTATTTCGCTATCATACGAATAAATTTTTGTTGTTGAAATGGAAAGACTTACTAAAGGGGTAAAAATTGGAGCAGTGTGCGGCTTAGATCTACTAAGATGGCTTAACTCCGTCATAGAGGAAATGTGTGCGTCTTACTCAGACAGCGGAAGGGGATTTGTGGCTGAAGACAGCGAAGCATGCAACTGTCACACCGTTCTCACGGCAGAATCTTTTCTTCAGTCTCTCCAAATGATTTAACACGTCTTCATCTGAAATTAAATTTTTTAACAAATGAGAAGTTAGCAGCAATCTTAATTGAAATCGATGGAAATGAGAATTAAATTCAATAATATGAATAAATCCTAATTTAAAAACAGTAGTTTGTCAATTTTAGCTACTGAAAAATGTTTGCATTCTTTATCGTTGCCGCTGAACAAAGTTTTGTGTTCTACGTATCATTGTGTGTATTTTATGCTTCTATCCCGTTCTCCGAAGTGCACCTCAGTCCCGTAATCAATCGGCATACTAAGCCACGGTTCTAGCGGACCACAAGCGGATATGGAATACGGAGGGTAACGTGTACAGGAGAGAGGGGGAATAGAGCGTTGCGTACGACGGGCGGGTGGGGGAATAATGAGGGAATTACTGTGGTCTTAGGGGGGATTAAGTCACTCTAAATCCCCCCTTGGCTGCACGCCGTAATTCTAATCTCATCCCCATTATTTATGCCCTGTTTTGAGCTCCCATTTTGAATATAAGCAAAAGTAGGAAAATGAAAAACAATGAGCTTATTAACTTCACAAGACAAATTATTCCTTTTAAGCTGAGCAAAAAATGATTAAATTCAACATGCATAATTTAGCGTTTATCAATCTGTGCGCGAAATATTTCAGAGTGTTCATTATTTTCAAAGGAAATGGCTTTACAGAAAAAGAAGAGATTAAAAAGGACTTTGGAATTCCTCATTTTCTTTTTTAAATCTCAAAGTAATGCTACAAGAGGCATATGATAAAAAGAATAATCGGTGGCTATTCCTATCCAAGTTTCCTTTGCAAAGAAATTGAAAGAAGAAGATGAAAAATTCATCAAAAAAATGTCTTTTTCAAAAAAGTTTGTTTTTTTTTGAAATTTTTCTTGTTGTTTTGATAGGTCAGGTTATAAAGAGTGATGAACGTAGTGAGTACTCTTATATAAGTCCTGCTGATTTTTTTTGTCTTTTTTTTCAGGAAAAAGTCTTAAAATTTGTCCACACTCGATTTTGATTTTTCATTTCCATTGTTAAAATTCAATGCGTTTCCATGGTTAAACGGAAGGCAAACCACTATCGAACAACAAAAGTGGAAAGGTCACGAAAAACTTGATCGACTTCTAATTATCAGATTTCCCAGCGAAAGAAAAGTCTTGCCTAATTTTAACAAAAAAGTGTCCATCATAAATTGTTCCACAAATTCGAAGAGCTTTAAGGCTATCTATGTTTTTTTTTTCAGTTCCTTGCTTTAACTACTTTTTTCCAACTGTCAGTTGGCCATGTTCATAGGTTATCAATTTGTTTTCAATTTTCTATCTTTTTCAAGTTTTCAAATTTTCTATCCTTTTCATGGGTAGCAGTAGTGGGCTTAAAGCAGGCTCTAAACAGATATAAATTGCTGAATTATACTAGGAATTCTTCCAGAAAATAAATGCAATCAGTCTCAAAATCAGTTGAAATTTCGCCTGGAAAGCGAAAAGTTCAGACCGTTTTTCTCGAGCAAACTTTTTTGAAATATCTTTTTAGAATCACAACTTGTAAATTTTAATTTTCGGAAATCCAAATTACAAATAAAAAGGGCTTTATTTTGATTTAGACCCACTTTAGACAACAGTTCCATTCCAATCTACGAAAATGACGCGAACAAAAAAGAGCGAAGAAAAAACGCTAGCTTTCATTTCTCACAGAGCGCTCCGCCTCTCTATCGCTTCTCAAGTAGCTAAGTATCCGCCTCTCAACCGTGAGGTCAGATGTTCGAGACCCAGCATCATCCGTGGTTGTTTCTTGAGGGTGAGGCAATATTACCCAGCCCTAAAAATAACCGAAAAATTGCATAGAATTTTTAGTCAGTGGTACAACAGCTGTTTTGCACAAAGAGCTGGACAGCTCGTATGTTGGTGCTTTTCCTTGTGGATAAATCGTCTTAGAATGATACAATACTTAACAATTTAGGAGCTGCATGCGCACATTAGTGGATCAGTTTCTTATGAGACGTTATCAAAGTTTGCAAAAACTGAATCTCAGAAAGACAAGCTACGTCTATGGTTTGACAATGACTTCAAGAAGTTCACGCCAACATTAAAACAGTAAGTTGTTGATTTGTCGAAGAAAATTGAGTTCTCTAATCAAATACTAAATGCATAATTTACTTCATACGTCAGTTTTAGTATAGATGCACGGCGTTGATCTTATAGCGCTCCAACGTTTTCCCCCCACATCGCAATTTTTGAGCGGCGAAAAATTTATAATTTATACTAATAATCTGACGTTTGACACAATTTTTTCCTTTATTAATAAACTATCGACTAAAATGATTTTTTTGTTTGTTTGTTATTTCAGAATATTCGACGCGTTCGCTCCAATGCAAGACATATTGAGTGACGAGCTGGCTTTGAAATCGGCAATTGAAGATATCGTTCGAAGCTACTCGGAAGAGAATGTCAAGTACCTCGAACTCAGAACCACTCCAAAAGAGCTTCCAAGTAAGTAGAATGAGCTGGTGTTATTGATGGTATCAAAGCACAAGTCAAGTAAACCATGCAAGTTAGCTTATATTTATATCATTCATAATTTATTTAGCTTAGATGATACATTTTTCTTATCAGCTTAGATATTGCTGTGATTTATCCTCTCGAAAACCATTTTTTTTATATTGTGGTCCGTGAAAAACGTGTTTCGAATATATGCTTCTCTGATTTATCACAAATTTAGGGAAATTAGAGTGAATGAATGTACCGTAGGTTATCGCATTTATCATGGCAGCAACGCGAACTCTTCCAATAAGCGTTCAGAATAGGTTATTTAGCACACTATGATAGAATTTTAAAAATCGGTTCTACTCAACAATCGCCACCCCTATGGAATCTACCAAAGAATTGCCATCACTATAAATAAAAGATTTAAAAAAATTAGCACTAGAGCGTTCCATTTTTAGTTAGAATTTTGCTGCGTTCTGATTGGTCAAAAATTTGACTAACTTAATCTACTTAACAACTACCCCCTTTCTTGACCCTAAAATTTCGAACTTTTTATCTCAACAATTCTTTAGTAGAGTGAAAAACCAGACAAAATTTTCGTTGCCTCATTTGACCTGACCCCCTATGAGCCTACTTTGCGGTAGCCACAATGCTTCTGGAAAAAAAAACATACCCACACCATAGTTCTTTCCCATTTCAAGATTTACTCAGAGCTGTTACGTATTATCACTTGCGCTATGTATTCGAAGATGGTATGATAATGTAAGAAAACTGTTTTATTAATACTATTTTCGAGCTTTTGAACTCCAATTTATTGATGTTTCAAAAAATATTGGCATGAAATTTACAAAAATGCGGGAAATTTGTTTCACATACTTGATCCTCGGCCTCCAGTTGAGCTCAGGTTAAAGTAATTTTGAATCGGAAAAAAACACGTGCGGTCTTATGTCGTCAAGACTTTTCGGGATCCTTGCTATGTAGTGAAATCGGGATCCTTAATCTAGCTTATGTAGTGAAAATTTTACAAGGCATCACTTAGTTTGCTTCAGCAAGGCCGGTAAGAACTCGCTTTGCAGTCTTCAACAGATGTTGAGGAGCAATTTTTGTTTTGTGCAGTCAGTTTTGACCAGTATTCAAATCAGAGTGAGAGTCGATCGCTTCGAGTGATGGTTTGCTGAATATATGTTGGATTTAAAAATGATAACGTGTGATTGGTACTTTTTTGTCCGTGGTTTTTCCATAAGTATAGCAAAGTTTTTGGATCCCAGATCTACCAAAATAGTTACTTTTCTATCTGTGTTAATCGCTCCCAGACCTAGCAAGAATGAAGTGCTTATGGTGGGTTCAAAATTCCATTTGTTTTTAATAACAGCTAGTTTCGTGGAAATTTGATTCTTAATGCATTCTTTGACACATCTTTTTTGTAAAACAACTGAAGGATATAGCGTTGTTTTTGTCCGTTCGCTTAAAGTTTTCAATAAAAATTGGTTGCTGATGAACGAAATGCAAAACTCTTCTTTTTTTTGGAAAACGGGAAGATTATAAAGGTATCATAATTGTATTTACGTTTTAGGGTGCTCTTAGGAAAATCTTAAGGAGCCTTTAGAAAAATTTTAGGGTCCGTGGCCAAAAATGGATTTTTTAATATAGAACAAAGGGGGACCCATTGGGTCGGCAGGGGTTCGAATTCCTGAGGGGGGTGCGTCTGCCCCTCTCCTAAATCCTGGGTGTTAAGAAGATTTCTACGCAAAATACGAAAATAGAATTATTGATTGGACGTTTTGCTCGTTGTGAAAATTCAAACGAGGTTAATAGCTCACATGTATAAATAAAAACTTTGTGTTCGATTTTTGGAGAAAAAATATGAAATTCGCTCACAACTTGATTTTTTGATTGTGCTTGTCTTCTCTTAACTCTAATTGCTTCGATTTTTTGCTTCCTTCTTTTCTACCATTAAGTTATTGGCACAACTGCAGTAGCGGATTTAGGGGGGGGGGACGCCCCCCTCAGGGATTCGACCCCCTGCCGACCCGTAGGGTCCCCCCTTTGGTACTTTTTAAGAAAATCATTTTTGGCCAGCAGACTCTAAAATTTATTGTATTTTTAGTCCCCCCCCCCCCCCGAGAAAATCCTAGATCCGCCCCTGCACAACTGTGTTTAATCATTTTTGTGTTATATATGTTTTACAAAGGAAGTGAGAGTGAGAAGGAACTATGACTTAGAATTTTTTCCCACGCAAAATCAGGTAGAATGAATGAACATAGCCTCGCGTGATATATCATAGTAAAGACCTTTTGTTTTGTATTTTGATCCGAAAAGATTTATCATAGTAACTTATGCAAAAGCAGTAAAGCAAATTTAAAAAATGAAATCTGAACATGATTCTTTTCTGAAACTTCTTTTCGAAATTACGATGGTCGGAATATGCTATGCTACTTGCACAGCAACTCGTTTGTTTTATTGGTAGTATAATAGCTGCTAAAAGAACAATAACTGATAGTTCGTTTGCTACATAGGTTTATCTGCTGAAAAATTTGTTTCAACTGTGGTGGAAACTCTAATGCAATCCGAACAGAAGTACGCCATCAAATGTCGCCTCCTGCTTTCAGTCAATACGCGGCACTCGGCACAAGCCAGTGAAAAAGTTCTCAAAATGGCGGCTGCCGATTCGTCAGGTTACATCGTGGGAGTCGATCTCAGTGGGCCTCCAGTTGAAGATTTGAATATTTCAACAATTGTTCACGTTTTGAGAGGTGCTAAATCAACTGGGTTGAAAGTGTCGGCTCATATTTGTGAAATTGACGAATCTAAAGGTTGGTCCAAGGATACTGTTCATGAATTTCGAAGACCATTTTTTTCTCAGAATGCCAGCAGAATTTTAATGCTTTATTTTGGGTAACTAATTATGATGATTGTGATAAGCAAGTTTGTTGCATCTGGGTGCTAGATTTTTCCTCGTTCACAAGATTTCCTCGTTCACAAGATTTCGCAGATTTTTCATCTTGCTTGATAATAAATGCAAAATAAAATGTCCATCCAGCACAGCTGGCGTAGAGCTTACACACTTGTTTGAGAGGGCAGTGGCTTATGGTTCAAATCTAGGTGGGCCCTGTTTTTTATTTAATTTCCGCTTTTTCGGGCTTATGTCCGTCTGCTTATTTTTGTCGGGTAAGTTACCGTAGCACGGACTCTTTTTGAAGGTTTAGCTGTCTTCTAAATTCCTGAATCAATTTCTAAAGCCCCTTTAATGGACGGAATTGAGTTACAAGATTTTCGAGGTGTATCAGTTTTATTATTTTTCGAAAACTAAAAACGTTTCAATTTTTTGCTTCGTCGATTAATGCAATGATTGTGCTGCGATTAGCACTCACTATCAATTGGGAACAACTGATTCTGTAAACAATTTGTTCAGCAAAATCACTGAATCGTTTCCTCAAATTTGCTTTTCCCTCCACCAACAGACAAATTTTGAGCGGTATCAAGGGTATTGCTATCGGTTACTAGACTTTTTTTCACGCTAACAATTTTGTTCACAGAATGGTCAAATGGTACTCAGTGTATTTCACATCCGCGACATACATGGTTAGTGTACCGCTGTATTGCTAATTAATTGCGTGGGTAATATATTGGCAAAATATGTGCCGTTTACGTAAAGAGTTGAAATTTAATTTTTCGGCACTGAGGTCGGTCGGCTTTAACTGTATCAGCTTATTTTCCTAATGTTTTTGTTGTATTAGTTTTAGTTGTTTACTGTAACGATTGAAGACCAACAATAAATTTTCGAAAAATACCTGTTAAGCCCTCCGTAAATATTTTTTGTTGAAGTTCGGTACCAAATTTTGTCGAATTACTTGCGGGATGTTTTATTTCAAGAAGCAAAGTTTTTGAGTATATTCAGATTTGTTGGATATCAATTTTTTCAATAATTGGATATCAAAAAAGTGTCCATTTATTGGTTATGAGAAAGACATGAATGGAGTTTGTATAAATTGTTTTTTTTTAAACAATTGCATTGAAGTTTTTTTGTTTTTTCAAGCTTACGATTTCTTTGACAGAATTCATCTAATTTGTTCACTTTGTGTCAGACACATTATCTTTTGATGTTCCTAATTTTTTTATTGCAAGTGATGCGAAGCTCAGCGTCGCCTCTGTGTTTATATTGGTTCAAATTTACCAATTAAGGTTTGGTATATATACTTTTTCGTTTTTCTTGTTTTTTTGTGTACTCAGCATAAAAGTGGTTTTTTTTCGGTTTATATCTAATCGGCATTATGAAGTCAATTTGCATCGTTGGATGAGCAAAACAAATGTTTTATACGTGTTAGTCTTTTTTTGGGGGTGGGTGCCAAAGTTTTGTTTTAGTTGTTTTAGTTTTAGTTTGAGTTAGGGTTTCGTGGCATTATTAACTTTTTTCCGATTTAGCAGCTTTCGTCTCAACTTCTGACTGCTAGTTTGTCAAGCTATGTTTTGTTGGGGTTTCGGCGCGACTTCAGATAATGCTTTGGCAGCGCGTCTTATGAAGAGACTTCGAGGCGCGGTGCGATTTGGTGAAAGACTTAAGCGTCGCGACTTTTAAAAAGACTAAGAGCTGCGGCGCATCTTAATAGACGACGGCGCGATTTTAGACAATGGTGTCGCGACGACGATGCGATCGTAAAGACGATGGCTTCGCGACTTATAAAAAGACTCTTCGGAACTGAGGTTGGTCGGCTTTAACTCTGTCGGCTTATTTTCTTAATGTTTTTGTTGTATTAGTTTTAGTTGTTTACTGTAACGGTTGAAGTCTAACAATAAATTTTTGAAAAACACTTGTCAAGCCCTCTGTAATAAAAATAGAAAAGTTAAACAAAAAAATTGTCAATATTATTTTTTAAAATTCGGTACCAAATTTTTTCGAATAACTTGCGGGGTGTTTTATTTCAAAAAGCGAAGTTTTTGAGTATATTCAGAACTGTTGGGTATCAATTTTTTCAATAATTGGAGATTAAAAAAAACGTCCATTTTTTAGTTATGAGAAAGACATGAATGGAGTTTGTGTTGACAGATTCTTTTCATGAAGTATAAATTGTTTTTTTTTTAAACAATTGCCTTAAAATTTTTCTTGTTTTTCCAAGCTTACGATTTTTTTAACAGAATTCATCTAATTTGTTCACTTTGTGTCAGACTCAGACACATTATTTTTTGATGCTCCTTGTTTTTTTTTATTGCAAGTGATGCGAAGCTCAGCTTCGCCTCTGTGTTTATATTGGTTCATATTTACCAATTACGGTTCGGTATATATATTTTTCGTTTTTCTTGTTTTCTTGTGTACTCTGCATAAAAGTGTTTTTCTTTCGGTTTATTCCTAATCGGCATTATGAAGTCAGTTTGCATCGTTGGATGAGCAAAACAAATATCTGATACGTGTTAGTCTTTTTTTTTGGGGTGGGTGCCAAAGTTTTGGTAGATTTGGGTTTTGTGGCATTTTCAACTTTTTTCGACTTAGCAGCTTTCGTCTCAACTTCTAACTGCTAGTTTGTCATGCTATGTTTTGTTGGGGTTTGGCAGCGCGTCTTATGAAGAAACTTCGAGGCGCGGTGCGATTTCCTGAAAGACTTTGGCGTCGCGATTATGAAAAGAATTAGAGCTGTGGCGCATCTTAATAGACGACGGCGCGATTTTAGACGATGGTGTCGCGACGACGACGCGATTTTAAAAACGATGGCGTCGCGACTTATAAAAAGACTTTGAGCTGCGGCGCATCTTAATAGACAACGGCGCGATTTAAGAAAATACTTTGAGCTGCGGCGCGACTTGATATAAGACTTTGAGTCCCTTCCCTGGTAAGACTTTGGCAGGCGTGACTTAGGAAATGACTTTGAGCCGCGGCGCATCTTAATAGACAACGGCGCGATTTAAGAAAATACTTTGAGCTGCGGCGCATCTTAATAGACAACGGCGCGATTTAAGAAAATACTTTGAGCTGCGGCGCGACTTGATATAAGACTTTGAGTCCCTTCCCTGGTAAGACTTTGGCAGGCGTGACTTATAAAAAGACTTTGAGCTGCGGCGCATCTTAATAGACAACGGCGCGATTTAAGAAAATACTTTGAGCTGCGGCGCGACTTGATATAAGACTTTGAGTCCCTTCCCTGGTAAGACTTTGGCAGGCGTGACTTAGGAAATGACTTTGAGCCGCGGCGCGACTTTAATACTTCGTGTCCCTGTGCGACTTAAGAAAAAATTGAAGCGATATGACTTTAAAAAGATTCTTGAGCCACGGTACGACCTAGAGATGACGGCACGGCCTCGGCGCGTGTTTAGTAAAGACTTTGAATCACGGCGTGACCTAAGAAAATACTGTAAGATGCGATTTTAAACTGCGGCGCGGATGCAAAATTTGGTTTAAAAAAGATAGGAGGCGCGGGTTTTGAAGTCGCGGAGCTGGATTCGGGTCTCTTCTTCACGCTTAAGTTATAATTGATAGTTTGCTGCAATTTGATTAGACACTTCGATTGAGCAAGCAGTAAACCGTTCTATTACAACAATTGTCTTAGATAAAAAATTATGCTTAGATAAAAACAGTTTTTCTCTGGCTGAGGCACTGCTGCAAGGTGGAGTAGTGGACAGAATAGCCCATGGGACTTATCTATTTTCCAGACCAGATCTGTCTCTGAAAGTGATAGATGCAAAGTTACCAGTAGAGATATGTCCGACATCTAATTTTTTCACCAGTGTTAGTACTTCATAAAGTTTGCCAATTTTCGAAAAATTTTAACGCCAACTAAATCTTATTCTGATATGATCACATCAATTTTATGTATTAAAGGCGAATTTTTTGAGGAGCTCGCTCGAAACCTTTTTTACGGGCTTGGAATGACTCCTACTGTTATCCGCCTCTTGAAGGTGATTTATATTATAAAATATGGAGAAATATATTCCTTTCTTCTATAAAACTCAGGTCTCTGCCTGATGAATTGTTCTTTGTTTCCAGGAAAGGCGCTTCACATCTTGTCGTGATCTCCATTTTGACGAACTTTTCCAAATTGGGCACCCAGTAGCCATCTGCTGTGACGACAGAGGTCTCTTCAAGTGTTCACTCACAGACGAGTTTCTCCAAGTGGCATCCGATTGCTCTTTAACGATGAATCAGATCCAAACTTTAGCTAAAGACTCGTTCACATTTGCCTTCAATCTGCAGTAAAATTATGTCAACTTTTTCTACCGCCATTTGTTTTCTTTTAATACTTTTATAAAATGTTTGTGAGGGCAGTTGCGGATTTAGGGGGGCCGAAGACCCCCTCAAGAAATGAAACCCCTGATGAGCTAATGAGTCCCCACTTTGGTTCCATTTTAAGATTATTAATTTTGGTTGAGTGGCCCTAAATTTTTTTCTTATGTCGCCTTCGGTCTTATACTAATGTCTTATACCAATTTTGAGGGAGGAGCGCGCTCGGAAAACAGTCCTAAAAAGCCTAAAAACACCATTTTTGGCCTGCTTTTTTAAAAATTAAACTTGCCTGCAGCGCAGAATTTTTGGTTACAACAAGGTCTATAAAGGTCTTGAACGAGCTCTGAAAATCGATTTAGTCAAACTAAAAAAAATGGTCGACAATCGTCTCCCCAGGGAAATATCCGCTCCCCATTGAGAAAACTTTACATCCTCCTCTGCTCCCCATCGAGAAAATTCTACATCCGCCTCCGCTCCCCATCTACATAATATATCCAAGTTTTCAAGCGTTCTCGGCCAACTTAGCCTGGAGGTAACTAATATGCTTGGGACGGCAAAGGTCCTGGGTATGAGTCTGACCAGGACCTTTTTTAAACGAGAAATATTCAGTTCCAAATTGTCGGCTGATTATTTGTCTCCTTGTTTGTTGTCGCCTTAGTTGTCACATCTTAATTTTTTTTGCTCTCATTTTTTTCTAATGTTTTTAGTGTTTGATACTCGCCTTAGTTTGTAATTTTACCTACCTTGACTTCGTATTTCCTTTGTTTTTTGTTTTGCTTAAAAATCGCTTATTTTGGCCTAATTTTATCGTATCGGCTTAATAACCTAATTTTGTGCCGTTTCAAGTTGGTTGTATGTTTTTTCGTTTTCGAATTTTTTTGCACTTTTTGCTAAAATCTTAGTTTTTCTCAGAAACTTCTCCTGACTTTCAAAAAAGGGGCATCAATTAAAGTACTGCTTACTCCATTGTGTGCCTGCATGCTCCCCTGGAATCTTTTTTTACTTGACCCTCTTGTCTATGGCTTTCGATAAAGTGTGGGGAAATATTTGACCCATATTTTTGATTTTTTAGTTTTCGCGATAATTACTCACCTCAAATATGAGTTTTTGAATTCAATGAATAGTACTGTTTTGAGAAGCTCACCTGCTTAAGCAGCTAGACTCCCTTTTTGTACACAAAGGTAAGGCTCTCGAAATAGTCAAATTTTTGACCCTTAATTGAATCTTTTCGACTTTCTGGAAAACTAACCTCTCAGATCTGATGTTACTTCAATGAGATAACGGGTAGTGGGAATCTCCTATGCATAAGCTAAGCAGATACTAACAGAAAATGTTACACAAGAATTTATTGCCCTCGGAAAAGTAAAAATTTTAATTTTTAAATTATCTCGAAAGTTTTTGACCTTTCTCGGAAACTACCCTCGCAAATCTAAGATTTTGGGTTCAATCGAAATTACAGGATGCGTGAATTCCTTCTACATAACGGCTCTGCATAATTTTTTCAAACAAAAAGCTTTGATTTTTGGAAAAGCCAAATTTTTGGTTTGTTCACCCTTTTTTTGGAGTTTTCCCGCTAACTATCCTGCCCAATATATTATTGGTGTAATCGAATCAACAGATTGTTGAAAGCCTACCTTTATAATTGACAAAGCCCAGTTTGCTAGATAAAAAATACTGCCTTCAAACAAGTCAAGGTTGTAATAATTTGACAGTTCTTTTGAAATTTTTTAAGTTTACGCGAAATCTACCGGTTTTTTTTAGGAATAAGTTTTTCTTAAAATTTACGCATCAAATCTGAGATGAAAAAATTCGACTTTTCTTAAAATTTAAGTTCAATTGAAAAAATTTGTTGCAATAATTCTTCGTGCAGAAGCGGCGACTCCTTATTTTTTATAAGAGAAACTTTATCTCCTCGGGGAAAACTGATTATCTGAAAATTTCCTACTCTTCGCACTTATTTTAGTATAGTAACAAGTAAGGTTTTAGGCAGAATCCAATATTTGAAATGACACTCTTCGTACCGCATCAGTGTAGCTTCTTTGTTCAAATTCAAAAAGTTGCCTCCAGTTTTAATTGGACTTCTAGTTGTTTTTTATTGAGAATTGCGAAAATTTTGTTTCATCTTGTTTTTTCAACATCTAAAATTTTTTCGACATCTTTTTTATACGTTTGTGTTGTAACACCCCAAGTGGTGTAAAACTCCGCTTATCCTCTATGTACACAATTGTAATTTTGGTAAGGTTAATTTTTCATTTAAAAGAAATACTTGCAGCTTTCTGTGTTAAATTTTTGTGTAGTTTAATTTTTTGTATGCTTGCTTGATTGAAACGCAATCAATCATGCGCAAATTACATTTTGGAAACTGATAGGAATCAATGAAAAACATTCGCTCTAAACATTGAATTCCGCGGTAAAATTGTGCAGTAATCAGATACGTTTCAAAATTAAATACTTAAAACAATTTTGTTTTTGTTCCGACCATTAAAAAAGGAGGAATTTTGTTTTCGGTGTTTTAAGTTTTCCACTCAAAAACAGCTACCACAATTAACCATCGGAGAGAAATGAACGATATATCATATTAAAGCTCTTTCCATCGTGATTCGAACGAGATTTAAACGCTGCAACAAACCAGCTTGGTGTATTACTACAAAGGAACGTTTTTTCCAAGTGAAATCGAAACTAAAAAGGCTCAATCGGTGGCATTTTGGTATATTTCAATTTGATCATATTTATGCCTATTGAAGCATAAGGAATTTAATAGCATATGCTGCTGTTTGATTTTTGGCTAGTAATGGTTCACGCTAGTTTTTTTTCATTTGACACCACCTACGGCCCTCGAAAATTGCAGTAGGGAGATTTTGACTTAATATTTTTTGATTTTTTTGTTTTTGTTCAAAAATTTGTTTGCGTAAATCTATGATTAAAGTTTCAATCAAAAAAGAAATTATGGGAATCGCTCCTTCATAAACGGTTAAATTGATTTTGGTAGAGAAAAAATTGTTTGAATTTTCACCTAATTTTCCTGTCAAATCTAAGATAAAAAATGAAATCGGAACAGAAAGATATAGAATTTTTCCTTGCATAGATGGCTGCCCCTTATTTCTCAGGAAAAAGTTGTGATACTATAAATGTTCATTTTTTAACTTTCGACCCATTTTTCGGAATTGTCATTTTTCTCAAACAGCACTCTGCCAAATCTGAAATTTAAGGTCCAATTGCACAAAAAGTCCAGTTAGACAATTCGTTCTGCGCAAGTGGCTATGTCGCACATTTTGAAAAAAAATTGTAGAATTGTACATTCTGAATTTTCGCCCGTTTTTTGGAAACTTATTTATTCTCAAAAACTGACCTAGTGGTTATGATGTTGGTTTATTCATATAAACTTCCTCTTTTTCGTAGAAAAGCCGGTTTGGATTTTGGAAAAAATGGATTTCGGAAAATCATTTTTTTTCGCAAAAACCGTTTGTTAGAAGTTCCTGATTTTAAGCTAAAAAAATAGGCTGTGGCAATCTGCTTTGCCTAAAAGGCTCTTCCCATGCTAAAGTTGAACAATTTTTGAATTTTCAACCGTTTTTTGGAAACTTTTTCATTGTTTTTTCCAACAATAACCATCCAAATATAAGTTAAAGAATTCTATTCAAAGAACTAGTGGTACTTATATCCTATTTATAAGCGGCTAATCCCGTAGTTAAACACAGAAATCACTATGGTTTTGCGTAAAATCGAATTTTTGAAATTTTGTAAAATACGCATTTCCATATCATACCAATAAATGATTTAAAATATCAAATTAGTTGCGTTCAGCAGGAACTGGGCCACTAGTTTACTTTCAAGCTACCGGGGTGCAGATGCGAGGACGTGAGGTTTCTAATCTACAAGTCTGCTGTTAAAATTTAGAACAACTAAATAGTTTTTTTTCTATTTGGTCGTTTTTTTTACGCATAGATTTGACAATTTGACAGCAACTGTAGCTGTTTTTGATAAACTATTAAGGTTAACTAGACGCTTATTTAAGTTTTGATGATATTTTTGCTTTTTTCAGGAAACGTTTAAGGGTTGTTCAGGCGAAAATTTGTTGTAAAGCTACTTTTTTGTGTTCTAGCTTGTGTTTGCGAAGTGCAGCTTCGCCTCTGTGATATGCTAATTAAAATAATATTTTTAAAATTTTTGCTATGCTTTGAAAAATCAAAACGCATGCGAGCTAGTAAGTGTAGTGTTTGTTTACAAAATCCAATTTTCCAACTTGTCTCGCAAAGAAAAGTGCTCTGTTGGTGGCACTTTTGCTAACATGATCATTGGGTGATAACTGTTTTGTTGGTGGCTTGTGCTTGCCAATTTTCATGCGATTGTACCAAAGAGACTTCTAATTTACAGGTCTGGGTTCGGGTCCAGCACATAGCCAAAAGTTTTATTTTTAAGGCTTATTTCAACTTTTTTTTATTCCATTTTTTGACTTTTTGGAGCTTCTTTTGCTCTTTTTGGTGGTGTTTCCGAAGCGAACTATTACGGTTGTTTGATACTTTCTCTCGCAAAGATTTTGCGACCTATGAGCTGACTCTGCACTAAATAAGTCTCCTCGTGAGATAAAGTGTATGAATCCTTGTTCGGTTTTTAAAAACGTTTTCATATGTCAAAATTGAGGCCTAAATATAATAGGTATTGAAAATTAAAATTATCCCTTTGAAAAAAAATATTTAACATTTTACTCGCCGAAGTTGAAAGTGTGTATGTATATTTGCAGTTGCACAGCCTAAACACACTTGCAAAATAGCTGGTCGCTGTGTGAGTAGATCAGAAGGTTCCGAGCACAGTCACATCAGCTTGTCAGACGTTTTTCGACGCCTCGCTGAAAACGCGGATGCTTCTGGCTATATTATGAATGATGATGACCGAAGTCTTTACTGATGTTTCTATGATTCAGTGATATCTATCGAGAGACTCAAACATGTCTATTTTTGGTATTTGTCTTAATTATATATTTATCTTAATTTCAACTCGTTTTCAACAGTTTTAGTGTTTGCTCTAACATCTGGTTGACCCTATTGTGTACCACAAGTTACTTTTTTTGCTATATCCTTTGAAGTT